ATCCTCTAATGAGGCCATGATTATGGGCTACATAATCCTCTAATGAGGCCATTATTATGGGCTACATAATCCTCTAAAGAGGCCATGATTATGGGCTACATAATCCTCTAAAGAGGCCATGATTATGGGCTACATAATCCTCTAATGAGGCCATTATTATGGGCTACATAATCCTCTAAAGAGGCCATGATTATGGGCTACATAATCCTCTAAAGAGGCCATTATTATCGGCTACATAATCCTCTAATGAGGCCATTATTATGGGCTACATAATCCTCTAAAGAGGCCATGATTATGGGCTACATAATCCTCTAAAGAGGCCATTATTATCGGCTACATAATCCTCTAATGAGGCCATTATTATGGGCTACATAATCCTCTAAAGAGGCCATGATTATGGGCTACATAATCCTCTAAAGAGGCCATTATTATGGGCTACATAATCCTCTAATGAGGCCATGATTATGGGCTGAGAAATCAATTCAGTGAAGAGTAAATAGGGACATCTCCCTGACTTCATAATACGATGAAACAATGTTATTTTCTTCTTCAAACCTTTTGTTCCTGAGCACATGAGAACGTGTGTGACTGGTCATGTGGTTACCATGTTCCACCCAGAGTGAGGCTCTAGCTGCTATGCAGTGTGTTCACTAATGTGATGGAGTCTTCAGAGAGCAGGGCACAGTCCCCTTGGAAAGGGAGGGCAGCTAGATAAGACTCAGGCAGGAACAATTGCTGGAAGCAGGGAGCTGAAAGGAGTGGGGTTTTAAGACGTTTTATTTTAGGATCTGCTGTAGGAAACACAATAAGAGGGCCAGCTCTACACACGCAGCTTGCGGTCGTTCCTCTGTTCCAACAATAAAGGCTTAGTAAAAGGAGCGCAAGCAGCAACAAAGACTTTCAACAGTGAGGCCGTGACCGCCGGTGACCAAATGACCATGATGGAAATAGGATGTAAATGATACCCTTCATTCAAAAGGGCTCTTTATCATACGATGGCAAAGGAAGCTGGAAAATCTCTTGACATATGCAGTACACTGCAGACTTTTATATGAACATCATTTGATAAAAAGTTTTTTATTTTATTTTTATTAATAGTTTATTATCCTCATTACATCTTTATTAGCCTACAAAGGCTATGGTGGATAGCAGGGCTCAGGGATAGGCAACTGGTCGCTGCGGCCCCCCTTTTGTAGGCCACCCCCACCCCCATTTTTTTTTTTTTTTTTAAAGAAAACTCAGTTGGGAACTCAGTTGGGGTCTCAACTTACTGTTGAGAGTTAGAATAGTAGAATACACAAGGTGCAATTTCGAAATTTGGTTGTGCATCAGCAGTTATTCTTGTTATGTCAGTCACTGACTCAATTAGCCCATGTCAGCTAACATTTTTTAGATTGGTAAATTAGTCTAGCGGTCAGTTATCTAAACTTGTAGTAATCATTACCGACCGGGTGGCCCCCATTGATTTTGTTAGTCAACAACATGTTGCTTAGGAATTAATGTGGGTAAGCAGACCCGCGAGCCACTGCGGACCCTCATGAGTTCTTAATTTTTGTAGCCCCCACCCCCATCAAAAAGCCCTTCCCTGGCCTAGCTCAACAGACTGTATATTGGATCAGAGTATAGATAGGCAACATTAATGCCTGCTGTAGGCTATTCAGTGCTCTAGTATCAGACACCATCTTGTGGATGTAAAATAGAATCGCACCAAAAGTTTTCATTAGAAGTGGGAAAGAACAGTCAACTTTCTTTTTCAGCTCTAAAACGTTTACATTCAATTTCATTTACAAAATAATTTGGCCAAAAATAAACACTATTTCTATAAAAAAGTGAATTAGGCCTACCTGACAATTTGATGCTTCAACCATAACGACAAGCTATATTTCAATCTGGCAGGTTGCTCACCTTCATTTTGGCTGCTCTTCACATCCCTGTGCAATTCTTCATCGCCTAACGAGAGTAGCTCGCACGTCGCCAAGATTACGGCTGTCAATGTGACATCTGACTGGAGCGCTAGATAGCAGTTAAAATTAGCTAGCTGGCTAGCGAGATAATAGTTACGTTAGCTACTTAGTTACATTATTTGTCTTTTTAACGCCTTCTTACATTTTCCTTCAACTGAAACCTTGTCCTGTCTGTTTCAAATGTGAAATGTGAGTTCATAGCTACTTTTTTCGACATTTGACTCCGAACTCTGGGTATCCTATCTAGCTGGGTAGCCAGCGCAGGCAAATTAGCATTTAAAGCTACCTTTACTTTTGCTGTGAAATACATGATTCATGCCAATGTCATCATCACTGACTTTTTCCTTCTGTGACGTGTACCTCCCTACTTGTCGGTCTGTCGTCAGTGCTTCATGTGGCATCAGACTGCTGTACTCATGTGCAGGGTTGCCAGGTCTAGCTAAAATGAATAAATCAATGACTACTCAAAACCTACCCAAAAGGCCTGAAAACTAGCCCAATTTTTGTATTTCTTTGCACAGCAAGAGAGGAGTTGCTATTTTTTCCATGTTATCGAGCCAATTAATAAGGGATATCAATGTAACTTGTAACTATGTTAGAAGCAAAATTCGGATTTCATCTAAATAATAATTATTGTGAACTATGACACGACTTAATAAACAAATTTGAATATGTCGCAAAAGGAAAGATAATTCACCCTTATTAAAAACCGCCAGATCATATTCCATCAATGGATGTCGACTTCACTCGTTTGACTGCTATGATTAAGCCAATAAGGCACGAGGGGGTATGGTATATGGCTAATATACCATAGCTAAGGGCTGTTCTTAAGCAAGACACAACGCGGAGTGCCTGGATACAGCTGTTAGCCGTGATATATTGGCCATATACCACAAACCCCCAGGGTGCCTTGTTGCTATTATGAACTGGTTACCAACATAAAAATAATGTTTTGTCATACCCATGGTATATGGTCTGATATACCACAGCTTTCAGCCAATCAGCATTCAGGGCTGAACCCGTTTATAATTGTACATTTAATCCCTTTTGAGCATGTGCATAACTATAGATAAACTCTCCTGTCGGATTTGAGTGATGAAAAATGTTAGGCTATTTTCTGGCAATTGTGCTGTTATTATGTGCCAGATGTTAAGACTACAAACAGTTATAAATGGCCCATTTGTTAGACTTCAGTGCGGCTTTTGACATTATCGATCATAGTCTGCTGCTGGAAAAACGTATGTGTTATGGCTTTACACCCCCTCCTATATTGTGGCTAAAGAGCTACCTGTCTAACAGAACACAGAGGGTGTTCTTTAATGGAAGCCTCTTCAACATAATCCAGGTAGAATCAGGAATTCCCCAGGGCAGCTGTCTAGGCCCCTTACTTTTTTCAATCTTTACTAACGACATGCCACTGGCTTTGAGTAAAGCCAGTGTGTCTATGTATGCGGATGACTCTTCACTATACACGTCAGCTACTACAGCGACTGAAATGACTGCAACACTTAACAAAGAGACGGCTGGCCCTTGGATGTACACAGAGAGCTAACATTAATAATATGCATGTCAATCTCTCCTGGCTCAAAGTAGAGGAGAGATTGACTTCATCACTACTTGTATCTATGAGAGGTATTGACATGTTGAATGCACCGAGCTGTCTGTTTGAACTACTGGCGCACAGCTCGGACACCCATGCATACCCCACAAGACAAGCCACCAGAGGTCTCTTCACAGACCCCAAGCCCAGAACAGACTATGGGAGGCGCACAGGACTACATAGAGCCATGACTACATGGAACTCTATTCCACATCAAGTAACTGAAGCAAGCAGTAAAATTAGATATTAAAAAACAGATAAGAATACACCTTATGGAACAGCGGGGACTGTGAAGCAACACAAACATAGGAACAAACACATGCATACACACACAATAAAATACGCACTATACACACACGTACACATGGATTTTGTATTGTAGATATGTGGTAGTGGTGGAGTAGGGGCCTGAGGGCACACAGTGTGTTATGAAATCTGTGAATGTAATGTATTTACTTATTTGTATTGTATAACTGCCTTCATTTTGCTGGACCCCAGGAAGAGTAGCTGCTGCCAAGGCATTGGGATGGACATCCATTATAAATACAAATACAAATGCGTTCTAACAACTGATCGTAATTGTGATAGAGCTTTGATAACTTCCAATTTAATTAACTAAACATGGCCATTAATAATTGCATAATAACACAAGGCTACAACAACAATACACTGAAGTAATAGGCTATCTATTAAATCTGTTTGCCAGCTCCAGGTCGGATACACAAGTGGCACAAATTGATTTGCAATGACTCCAGTGATATAGTCATTTCAACATATTTATTGTATCAAATTGTAGCCTACAGTAGCCTACACTGGTATATAAATTAATAGACTACTTGATGGCCAACAGATGCAAATGTATCATTCTCCACATTTAATGTCAGTTTCATTGAGGACTTTTTCCCCATAACAGAAGCACGCTAGGGAGTTCCATAACTTCTAATTTAAAATTTCCACTCGCGCATAATGACATGTTAAATAGCATACCTACAACTGGCAAAGAATTGTCATGACGTCCGCGTGCTGCTGTCTCCTCTCACTCACGTGACTCAGTCCAATAGTGGACTAAGCTGTATGCTGCAGTGCTTTCTCAACACACACACACACACCTCCGGCGCTCCCCACCACTCACTCACTCAGTAACAGCCTGCCTCACTGCCTGATTGTCAGCAGCAGCAGGTCACAGTGAAATATATATATATTTTTTAGAAATGCCATGGCGGGCGCGGTGCAACGTAGAAGTAGCCCAAAAACCCGCAACCAATACATTTTCGCCCGCGACATCGTTTTCAAAGTAGCCCAATTTCCAATAGATGGCGCTATGCGCAAACATCCTGTCAGTGTATCGTCTCACATGAAATAAACCACTGTACTGTAAGGCCTACGTCTCTGTTACTGTAATTATACTAAAACTCTGAATTCTTCTTTCTTTACAGATGGCCAGCAAAACAGGAAGAACCTGGCTAGACTGTAAAAAGCCCCAGCTAGCTGATAACTTCATAAGTCTTGCTGTCAAAGTAAGCTTGCATATGTCAAACTATACCCTATGATGACTACAGTAGATTAGAGAGCTGATAACCTTCTCGAATTTCTGTCATAACACTCTGTCATAGCACTGAATTCACATAATATATTCCGTAATCTTGTTTGACCAGAGTTTGGAGACATTGTACAGCCAACTAACATCCCGAAGCGATGGAGGGACAGACATCAACACATCGAAAGGAGATGTGGAGAAGGACCTGCTTCGAGTTCTGTGAGGCAGACAATATGTAGTACCCAGCTATAGGAGGGGGAAAAAATATGTTCACATATAGCTTTAATTTACTGATGTACTGGTAGCTTATGATAGTTTATATTCCCACACAGGCACTTAATTACAGTAAGTTGCTGAACCCTCTCCTTTAGGCCAAGGTCCTGAGGCTCCTTGCCACTGACTATCTAAAGCAGGACTGTCAGCAGTTTCAGAAGGCACTCAACCCCCCCGTTAATACTTTTTAATATTAAGCAAGATTATTTGGCTCTCTATTAATACTTTGCAATTTGACAGGAAAGTGTGAATCCCTCTGGGCTCTAGCTGAAGATCACAATTCTATTCAGATGTGGGGCTCAGGATGATCACATAAGAGCTGGTGAGTAGGACATTACCCTGCTTCTCTCTCTTTCTGCCCTTGAGTGGCTTGAGTGGGAGTTTTACATCAATTTAAGGACTCCAAGTCCTCCGTTTACAGTACTGTATAATGCATTACCATTTAATCTTGCTGTTCAACATCCACTGAAGTAGCTAGCAAGTTTACTAGATAGCTACAGTAGTTTCCGTGGTAACCAAACAAACAGACTTGCTAGTTTAGCTAACCAAACCATCAGTCCTAGCTTGCCATTATGAGAATCGAATTCAACAATGCCAATAATGTTTTAAATTCGACTTTTGCTTTCAAAAGCAGCTCAAACATAGAACATGTAAAAATGAACTATAGTCATTGAATTCTACCGTGCAAATATACTATGCATTATAGCGAAATAATGCTAGTTCTAGAATGCCCTTCAAGCCAATCAGAAACAAGCATTCAACAATGCCATGGTGTAATTAATAGTAATCTTTGTGTGTGTACTTTGTGCATTCCTGAGTGTGTGTGTGTGTGTCAGGCCAAAGAAGCAATAAAGGAGGCAGAGAGATTTGAATCAACCAGCATCTTCACTCAGTTCAGCGTTTACAAGATTGCTGTTCTGGAGAACAATGTGGAGGAAGGTAACAGCATATTACATGAGTGTGGTGAGTTTTGGGATTGACTACATGTATCCAGGCCCTCTGTACTGCTCAGTCTGAAACCTTGTTTCTATCAGCTGCAGGGGCAGTAAAGGCCATCGGGGCTCTGGCCCAAGGACCTGTGACCAGTGAAGACAGACTGCTGGTGGCTGAGAACGCTGACTCCAACCTCCATCAGTCTGGCTGCTCAGATCGCTCTGGAGGTGGGTCCCCATTACTGACCTACCTCTGGGAAGTATGGTGATAATGTTGGTGATTATGGTGATGATAATGATGATGATGACAATTCTTGAAGGAGAACATACCCATCATCATCATGAACAACAGGACACAGCCATGAAGGCTCTGGAGAGTTTGTGTGAACACTCAAAAGATGAAGCTCAGGTTGTCACTGCTCTCAGGTCAGATACTAACACACAACATCAGCGAAATTGTCCAGCAAGATCGGAACACTTTATGTGAATGGTCCATCGTAATACATACATTATGTTATCATAAACATGACATAACCTACAATGACAGTTGATTATGACCATTTGTGTCACCAGTCTCCCACCATAAATGCATTAGAAAGCATGACACATGGTGCTGTGTAAGGTTTCACTGTCTCCCAGATCTACTGACCTACATCTTCTAATTTCTCCTGTGAAATATGTGCCTCTCAGTACAGTGTTAGTAGGTGAAAGGAACTAGGTCCCCAGTCCTCATCATCTTTGTATTTTATAGGCATTTGGTTCCACTGGTGCTATCAACAATAGAAAAAGCCAGTGTGGAGACAAGGAGAGATTGATGAGATATTGTTAAACATGATGCATTATACAATGTTGTTTAAATGCTTCATTTCTACCAGGAGTGTGACGTTTAAACGAATTTGGGATCGTTAACGTTTAGAAAAAATCCCTAACCCAAAATCCCCCCCCCCAAAAATAATGAAAATCAGTGCCAAAAATCTAACTACCACAAACAGTTCCCGATCATCATCATAAAGGCAAAATGCTGTGAATAGGAGACATGCAACTTCCAAATTATTTTCCAAAGATATAAAGCGCCACGCTCTTCGTTAACAGTTGGGAAAGGGAAGTGAGACAGGGAAGCGACAGCAGCTACGTTTTGTAGGGCAATACTTTGAGAAGTTAAATGAGAAGAAGGTGATGAAATGCAAACTTTGCAAGGTGGAATTGAGCTACAGTGGCAGTACAGGTACAATGCTGAAAGGGAGACACCGCGAGACCCAAATCGTTGCTGGCAGCAGTGCGATAAGGGACGGAGTGAGAAAATCACAGTGCTGATTACAGAAATGATTCCAGTTGATATGCAGCCATTGTCAATGGTAGAGGATGTCGGCTTCAATACCCTAATGGCATATCTAGAACCAGACTACAAGATGCCATGTCGAAAAAACCGTGAAGGCCCTGATGGAGAAATTGTACAATGTTTGCTCTGCCACCTACATTTTCTCTTAATATATGAGTAGCCTGAGGTAATGCTTTAGCACCGATTCTATTTTTATCTGCTGTGCGTTGCTTTGTTTTCACCACAACCAGTGTTTGTTGTCACCAGCACAGAAATTCAGAAAGTATCACAGCTCAGCCCTGGGCCTAGCATGGCTGTGGAGTAGCAGCGCACAGAGGAGGCCAACTGGTTCACTAGCATGGCTGTGGAGCAGCAGCAAACAGAGGGAGGCCAACTGGTTCAGGAAGATTGGTACTTACATACTATCTGGAGATCTACTGTTATCTATCTCACTGTTGTACATTTATCTGGATCATCTAGCTATTTTACGAGTTACAGTGGCACCATGAAAGCATAGTGCACTGTGCATTTTGTCTATTTTATTCCTGTGTGTGTGTTTGCGCCCACGTGCTTGTGTGTGTCCATGTGTGTCTTAGCTTGGAACTCTGCGCTGCAGTGTGAGAGCAGCCCTGACAGGATGAGGGATTTCTTTGTGTTCTCTTACCAGACAAGTCCTCTTATTAGCATCGCTGGGAGAATAGGTCTGTATCTGTGCATCTGTAGATCAATATAACCCACAGGGAATTAGTGTTGCCGTAGATAAAGAAACATGGAGCCCTGCAGCTTCCCTGGAGCCCTGAAGCTTCCCTGGAGCCCTGCAGCTTCCCTGGAGCCCTGCAGCTTTAGCACAAAACAACTTGGTCAGTCATTATATCCTCACACCCCCAAACACACAGACACAGACTATCATGCAGGCACACTCCATTTTAATGCGTTCTCTCTGTGTTGTGGTCCTTAATCTTTATGGTTCTCTTAATATATATATATATATGTGTATGTATGTATGTATGTGTGTGTGTGTGGTAACCCTAGCTGTCCCTGTTCTGTCCCCCTGACCGGGCTGAGTTGATGGGCAAGAAGACGTGCCTGTTGATAGCTGCTGCTGCCTCTGGAGCTCTGTAGGAAGTCTCCACACTCTGACCAGGTGTGTGTGCCACCCACTCTCCCTCTCTCTCTGCCTGTTGTCCACATTTAGCTCCCTCCATCCGCATGGATGGAAATTTACCATGCCAGCGGAGAGGAGAGGTGACTAACTGTGTTTTCAGTGCTGGCGTAGGTGGTTATTTTAAATCCTGCTGTTATGGGTAGCGGCCACCAGGAGGCGATGATGAATACTGAATGACAATGTCACTGTGTCTTCATGTTTAGACCGAGCAGCTGACACAAGCCCTGGAGCACATTCAGATCTGCTGGGAGGTCTGGAAGACTCTTAAAGCCTCTAATTATCCCTCCTCTTCCATTCCATGCTATGCGCAGTTCTGCCATGATGTTGGATTACCTTGTGCAAGGAGAATAATCGGAGATCATCCGACATGCACTCCAGGGGACTTGTCCAAGGACCCAACAGACATCTTGCTGTTGTATGAGTTTGAGACTCGTGCCAAGCTCAACGACCCCAAGATGGAGACAGTGCTGGAGTCAGTGCTGGAGCTGGATAACATTGAGACCAAGGTGTTGGAAACCATGGCAGGTGAAGAGGACACACCGTAGCTGACCCTCTCCTTACATAACTTGTTCTCTTCATCGAGGTGTTGTTTGTTGTGATGAGTTTCTTCTGTCATGGAGCCTCCTGCCTACTTCCCTCTGCTGTGTAAGAAGGCCTTGAGGATTGCTCTGCCTCTGTACAGGAAATGACCACAAGCAGACCTGGCCGGTTGCAGGTCCATCTCATCTGCCATCCCAACACCCAAAACAATTAAACGCCTCACAATTTACGATTGGTCCACTAAAAGGGTCTAACAGATACTGGTATATGATCCAGTCAGATATTAGCTGTGACAGAGAGCTCCAGTGTGTCCGAGCGTAGGTTGCTCTCTCTCTCTCTTCCCCTCTCCCCTCTCAGCCAGCGTATGCATGGCCTGATGCAGCTGTAGCTGCCGAGCGGCGTGTCGAAGGTGGAGGCCCGCGTGCTGGAGGAGGATATGGGGCTAATATGAGGATGGCCTGTCCATCATCACAGCCGCAGTGAGTCAGCACCAATCACGCCCCCCCCCACCCCGCACTGTCATTACCCCCCCCCCCTCATCCCTTCACCCCCCTCCGCCCACTGCTGCTGCCCTGAAAGTATCTTCTGTTTGTTTTTATCAATGGGCTTTCAGCACCACTTCAATTAGCAGATGCTTCCATTCACCATCCCCTTCCTGCCAATTGGAATGGTAATGTGCTGTACAAGCCATCACTTTAAGAGCGTTATTGAATGTTATTGAAGCATTACCAAGCTTTATGTGCACAGGCACATTTTCATATGCAGTTGCAACTCGAAGCGCTGCCATGCAGATTTTCCATTACACCACCTTGAAATCGATACATTAAAACAATGGATGGACAAGTGCCATAAAGGACAAGTTTACCCAAAATCCAGAAACTCCCAAGTGATTCCATACATTTCAACTAGTTCAGTGGAGTTTGCCCTCTCCCCCTCTCTCTCCCTGTAGTGCTGTACTGAAACAGTTGCAAAAACGGGTCACGTGACTCGTGACGTTGCTGGATGCGAAGTGTGGACAAATTTGTTTTTTTATTTTATCGTACAGCCGAATTAGCTATTTTTTAGCTTTGAGTCAGAAAATGTGTACATTTCCACCTACAACTCAATATTAGGAAGGTGTTCTTAATTTCTGGTAGCCTATGTTTATTTATCACACTGTTTTTTCCCCTCGTCATAAATACAGTGGCTTGCGAAATTATTCACCCCCCTTGCCATTTTTCCTATTTTGTTGCCTTACAATCTGGAATTAAAATTGATTTTTGGGGGGTTTGTATCATTTGATTTACACAACATGCCTACCACTTGGAAGATGCAAAATAAGACAAAAAAACATAACTTGAGCGTGCATAACTATTCACCCCCCCCCCAAAGTCAATACCTTGTAGAGCCACCTTTTGCAGCAATTACAGCTGCAAGTCTCTTGGGGTATGTCTCTATAAGCTTGGCACATCTAGCCACTGGGATTTTTGCCCATTCTTCAAGGCAAAACTGCTCCTTCAAGTTGGATGGGATCCGCTGGTGTACAGCAATCTTTAAGTCATACCACAGAATCTCAATTGAATTGAGGTCTGGGCTTTGACTAGGCCATTCCAAGACATTTAAATGTTTCCCCTTAAACCACTTGAGTGTTGCTTTAGAAGTATGCTTAGGGTCATTGTCCTACAGGAAGGTGAACCTCCGTCCCAGTCTCAAATCTCTGGAAGACTGAAACAGGTTTCCCTCAAGAATTTCCCTGTATTTAGCGCCATCCATCATTCCTTCAATTCTGACCAGTTTCCCAGTCCCTGCCGATGAAAACATCCCCACAGCATGATGCTGCCACCACCATGCTTCACTGTGGGGATGGTGTTCTCGGGGTGATGAGAGGTGTTGGGTTTGCGCCAGACATAGCGTTTCCTTGATGGCCAAAAAGCTCCATTTTAGTCTCATCTGACCAGAGTACCTTCTTCCACGTTTGGGGAGTCCCACATGTCATTTGGCGAACACCAAACGTGATTGCTTATTTTTTTGTTTAAGCAATGGCTTTTTTCTGGCCACTCTTCCGTAAAGCCCAGCTCTGTGGAGTGTACGCTTAAAGTGGTCCTATGGACAGATACTCCATTCTCCGCTGTGGAGCTTTACAGCTCCTTCAGGGTTATCTTTGGTCTCTTTGTTGCCTCTCTGATTAATGCCCTCCTTGCCTGGTCTGTGAGTTTTGGTGGGCGGCCCTCTCTTGGCAGGTTTGTGGTGCCATATTCTTTCCATTTTTTTATAATGGATTTAATGGTGCTCCTTGGGATGGTCAAAGTTTCTGATCTTTTTTTATAACCCAACCCTGATCTGTACTTCTCCACAACTTTGTCCCTGACCTGTTTGGAGAGCTCCTTGGTCTTCATGGTGCCGCTTGCTTGGTGGTGCCCCTTGCTTAGTGGTGTTACAGACTCTGGGGCCTTTCAGAACAGGTGTATATATACTGAGATCATGTGACAGATCATGTGACACTTAGGTGATAGCCCCCCATGTAGCTCAGTTGGTAGAGCATGGTGCTTACAACGCCAGGGTTGTGGGTTCGTTTCCCACGGGGGGCCAGTATGAAAAATGTATGCACTCACTAACTGTAAGTTGCTCTGGATAAGAGCATCTACTAAATGACTAAAATGTGAACTTTATTTAACTAATTATGTGACATCTGAAGTTAATTGGTTGCACCAGATCTTATTTAGGGGCTTCATAGCAAAGGGGGTGAATACATATGCACGCATCACTTTTCCGTTATTTATTTTTTAGAATTTTTTGAAAAAGTTTTTTTTATTTTTTATTCCACCTCACCAATTTGGAATATTTTGTATATGTCCATTACATGAAATCCAAACAAAATCCATTTAAATTACAGGTTGTAATGCAACAAAATAGGAAAAACGCCAAGGGGGATGAATACTTTTGCAAGGCACTGTACATAGGGCACATACGCTAACCTGTAGCGCACCTATAGCGCACCTATGTTTACTTGGGCTCCCGAATGGCGCAGTGGTCTAAGGCACTGCATCTCAGTGCTTCAGGCGTCACTACAGACCTCCTGGTTCGATTCCAGGCTGTATCACAACCGGCCAGCGTCGTCCGGTGTAGGCCGTCATTGTAAATAAGAATTTGTTCTTAACTGACTTGCCTAGTTAAATAAAAATGATAAGAACACCTCTAACTTCAAGAATCAGGCTAGGCTACATACCTCCGCTCTTCTCTTCTCAATGCGCCTTTATATTTTGGCACTGCGCCAGATCCAGTCCATGGAAATACAGTAGCAACATCTGTATTTTTCAGTATGCTTCGGTTTTCTGTCCCCATAATTTCAGACAGCATATCTCGTTCATCTGCATAGTCGCTGAAGTGCTTGCTACATACACGCAATGAAGCAAGGTTGGCTGCAGGAGTATTTACATCGTATTTACCATTTCGAATGGCTACTAACCATCTGCATCTCTCCATATATTTTATCGGACAACACTGACATTTTGTGCCTTTTTCCCTTGATTTCCTGTATAAAGTGCAGCCAGGGACCAAACACCAGCTTGCTCTTGCTGACATCTCTTTATCCACTTTGCGTAACTAACTTTACCTGCGATATACCTAACCCTATCAACATTCGCACCAGCTACTTCTCCCCCCCAAAGAACTTGAATCTGTGACGTCGAGCTCCATATAAGGGCATGCCGTGACGTTTCTTAGTACACATTTAATTACTCAAAACAGGTAGTACTTTTGACAAAAATAGTTAATTCGGCCATATGCTTTCAATAAAACAACGAATTTGTCCACACTTCGCGGATTTCAGAATAATTAATTAATTGTCATCGGAGCAGAGCAACGATTCACGTGACCCGTTTCCCCCCCGGTGTTTCAGCCAGCACTACAGGGAGAGAGAGAGGGGAAACTACACTGAACTAGTTTAAATGTATGGAATCACTTGGGAGTTTCTGGCCTTTGGGTAAACTTGTCCTTTAAATCAATATACATCAATCACATTTGAGTCTTTCTCAACAACTCTTTACCACGTGTTGTCATGTATAAAATCCTATATTTTCTGATGCTAGGTGTCATTCCCAGACTGACTATAGACATTAAAAGCCCATTCATAGGCATACCTGGACTCTGAGGCCAGGTGAGTTATCATCACAGGTGCTCCTAGACAGGTGGACTGCGGCAGCATGAATGTGTTCGTTGTCTCTTCTGTGCCTCCCCTCCAGCCTGAGGACTTCCCTGAGATGGAGATCCTGTGGCTGCTGACCCAAGCCTGGAACACAGGCATCCTGCTGTACAGCCTGGCCCAGTACCCTGAGAGGTGGTGTGGCCTGGGCATGAGCTTCCTCCGCCACCTGGGCTCCCTGCAGGAGAGCTACCAGACACTGGTACTACTGACTGACTGGGGCAAGGAGGGAGGGAGGGGGAGAGGGGACAGCAGTGGAACGTGACAGGGCTGAGTCATCCGGAGTCAAATGAGAGGCCTCGGCCCAGGGAATACTGATTATATGTCTTAAATAAAAGTTTGTCTGTACACCTTTAACCGAAAAGAGATATAGACCTAGCCATTTGTTTCTTAGATTTCTAATATCCAGTATTGTTTGTCTGTCCACAGATGATAGATCTGTACACTGAGATCCTGGACAGGCTGGACAAAGCCAAGAAGAACCTCATCATGGAGTAGTGATAGAGCTGGTTGAGCTTTGCAGAGCTCTTTTACTGTCAAGTGCCTGATATGAGTCATGTGGTTGCTGGGATGCTGGTTTACTGTACGATGTCTCACAGGTTCTTGTATGACTGGTCTACAATTTAGTCAGCTCGTCCAGGATGTCAGTTGCATCCTGCCCTCCCCCAGTATTTCCCTCACTTTCCCTATGGAGAGTTCAGATAACCATTTCTAGTTAATGTTTTGCTACTTCTGTACATGAATGTACTTTAATTATTTTATGCCTCCCGCATATATTACATTGATATGAAATGTACATGTAAAATTGTATTTATTGTCTTATATAAATAATCGTCTTAGAAACTGCCAATACAAGTAGACTCAAATAAAACACATCAAAATCGTAACCGAGTCACATATTTTATTATTTTCAAACAAATAAACTCTTGTCCAGTCCAAAATCCCAAACAAAATAGGTTGCAGAACTGTGTTCCCTCATGACTAGGACAGGGAAGACCGTTTGGCCCAGCGTCCTGATAGGCTCGAACACCTGCGGTGTGACAGGAAGGAAACTACTGTACAATCAAAGGGTTCGCAAGCACTTACTGCACAGGTGTGCTGTCACAAACAACTCATCACCCAAAAGGACAAACCATAACCCGACCGACCCCCCAGAGCTCATGTCCCTGTCACTGGAACAAAGACCCTCATCAATTATACAAACACAGAGGCATTCAGGTTCAATCTTGTTATACCGCAACCTCAATGGAAATAATAAAATGTAAATCAAGTTCTTTGGGCTTTATTGACATGGCTGACCGAGAGGTATAAATACCAGACGTTAACAGTCTGGTGTTTAGTTGAAACACAGCTGAGGACCAGTTCTAAAACTTCTAAATGAGATATTGATCAATGCTCCTCCTGGTTTCTGGAATATCACCTTGTAGGTTGCTGCCGGTGTCTCATCTTCATAATTGTTCACATAATTGTTTTAATCTATACACCCAGACACCATTTTCCACAAGAAATAACATGTAGACAGGCCCTACTTGAGGGAATTAAATTCCCAACTGACAAGAAAAGAAAACCCAATAGGCAGCTGAAGATTTGTCTAGAGAAATACCAACATTACGGCACATTTGTATGGAAATTATATCTCAGAATAGCTCAATTTACTTACCTGACATTTGTGATCTATAAAACGTGTTTTCCCCCAGTTTGTTTCACACATGCATGAAGCACAGGTGAGGGAGATCTGCTGGGGGCATATTTACATTTGACAGCTACCACACCCTTTGAAACAGTCTGTATGCAGTTTATAAATGGCTCTGTTCCCTTCGGTTATTCCCTGAACTCTGGTTTTGACACAGGTAATGACAGCTGGTTTAGCAGTGGTGCCTGGCAGGTGGGCACACCTGTTCAGAAAATGCCTTCAGGTACAGGTGCTTTAGGGGGAAGCAGGGGACCCAGAGGGCTAGGTGACAACTTCCTGTGGGCATACAGAAGATGGTCCGGCTCTCAGGCATCGGAGGAAAACCCTTTCCCCTCTTCCAAAAAAAGGTGGAAAATCAAATGTTCACAAGGTAGGGGGCCACAGCATTCCTTATTCTTCAACAAGTCAGACACGTCCCCTCACATGTACACAAACACAGTGCCAAGACAAGATCCGCAAAGGGAGATGGTGGCGGGTCATTTTAATCCTGTTGAATCCATACAGCCAACTCAGGCAAGGGTTTACCACAGAAGTGGTCTTCACAAAGCTTCACCGCATCATAAGATAGACATATTATATCTGCATATTAAATAGTTCAATGCAAATGCCTTTAAAATCGCTCAGACCGTTCATTCAATTACTCTTTCATTCACATTTAACAGCTTTGAACTCTCCAGGTCTCCTTTCAAACATGGCATTTCAGTCACAGGGGAAATTATATCTGTGTGTTAGATTCCTGAGCTGATCTAGCTCACCCCAGACATACCATTAGGATCATGACTGTAAGTCGCTTTGGATAAAAGTATCTGCTAAATGGCATATTATTATTATAACAGTGGTTCAACACATGCCCAGAACTAATTCAAAAAGGATTTAAAAACTTTATAGATACACAGAGCATATAGGTTTTAATTAAACCCCTCTTTAGTGTTCTTTTGGGTGGGGGGGAAAGGGGACAATCCAAAAGCAGGTTAAATTGACTCTTTAATTGTTAGGACATCCAATACAATTATTGTCTTGTTCTACCCGTTTTTAAGGCCACCTTCATGATGGCATATAGAGGACAGTACCATGTGACCATTCAATCAGAAGAGACACTCATCTTGGAAGGTAGAGAGTGTAATAGGGTGGTCTGCTGCTCAACATGGGTGAGGGAGCTATGGCTGCCCAAATTAGATTCCAATAAATTCTTAAATTACAACAGGAAAGGGGTAAAAAAAAAATACAGGGGGAAGATAGGAATCCACAGAGGTGAGACTGCGTTCGGTCTATTGCACTCACAAGTTAGGCCTCCTGGAAGTCAGGAGGGCAACGCAGAAAAAGTGAAAATTAAAAATAAAAGTTCCCTCTTTTTTCCTTGTCAATTATTTGTAGCTTCCATCACAAAGTACAGGTAGTAATATAACAATTTGTATTTGATATAAGGCAGTTTGGTGTTTTGCAGAGAGCCCCGTTACACTTCTCTACCCCCATCCTTTACACAAAGCAGCTAAAAACCACAAGCAAAAAATCCCACGGAAAAACCCAAAAGAAATGAAATCTAACAGCCCTCCAAGTAGACAATTCTAGTGAAGTGTAAAACGTGTAGTTTTTAATATGTAGTAAAATCGCAGTAGGATTTGATAATTGACCTTGTGATTTCATTATATAAATGTAGAGATTCATAACTAATTTCCTCCATTTGTTCTGCCTCCCAAGAGGTCTGTATCAGCTGCTGCAGCACCAACAACTGGCAGCTGATCAAACAGCAAGCTGGTTTGTGATCGATCACCAGTCTGTAGGCTTCTCCACCAATTTCTTCAGTAATTACAAAGAAGAGAGCTAACTCCTCCAACAGTACCATCAGCTGGGCTTGATATTATCCAGTCCTCGTAGAAAAAAACAACCTAAGTGGTCTTTGCTTCTCATCTTGCGTGTCTTTTTTAAAATGTGATTTGATGAACATTTACAAAGTGTTCCAACTTGTATGATTTGTCTCCGTTCCCCTGCAACTTCTCCTGAATCCCAAACTCCTCCTCACTCCGGCGTCGTCTGTAAAACATTCTGATCTTCAACTGTCAGTCCCATTTCACAAAGAACGATTCATTTTTCTTTTCCCTTGTTTTGTTTTAAATGACAAACTCACTTGGAATGGCATTTCCAGTCTTGAATGGATTTGCTGAGAAACACATGCAGGGTTGTGCACAGTCACAGTAATGGTGATAAGACTTCTTTTCATTTGAGATTAACATAATGATGACACTAAAACTTGATATGAAACATATCTGCAAAAAAGGGGGAGGGAGGAGCTATTCCGGGGATGGGCAGGGTGTCGGGAGGGGTGGGGGGGGGCACTGCGCCGACAGAGGGGTAAAGCTGGGAGCTCAGAGCTTCTCTGAAGAAGGTATCCAGATGTAGGGGCCCGACTGTTCCTCAATGATCATCTTGATTTTGTTGTAGATCTCCTCTAGCGAGTCACCCTGTACAATGGCTGCAGATAGATAGAGAGATAGAGACAAATATCATGAGTGCATCGATGCATTAAGATTCCTACTCATACTACAATACAATTCAAGCTTATCTAAAATATTTAGCATCCGTGAAAAAATGAAATAAATAGTGGCATTACCTGTGAAAAATTCTCCAAACTCTTGTTCAAGCTTAATTGCCTTATCAAAGACTTTATTAGCTTGCTCGTAAGTCTGTCTCTTATTCATGTCCCTGCAACACAACACATGATTGGTTGTAGTACAGGAAGTGATTGTTGTATGGAGTTAACAGTAAAGTGCAACGCAGTTAACAGTTTATTAGTTCCAAGAACACACACTTACATAAGAGCTTCAATGGATTTTGGTTTGATGAAAATTGCAATCGAATAAAGTTGTGCTTGTTGCAGTCGCTTTATAGCATTTCCAGACACGTCCAGGATACAGTGTTTTCCCTGCAGGAAGAGGAAAGAAAGAGCAGTTAAGTATGAAAATACCACATACTTTATCAGGCTACATCCATTAAGAATGAATCAGAAATTAACCCTGGATGCAAACTTGTGAGGACCCAAAAAGGTGACAATTTTTTCGCACAAAAACAAACAGAAAATCTGTACGCTGCAAGAATTTCCCCATTTTCAGAGTGGGGTTAACACAATACCAACATTTTACTAAAGATGTGATACCAGGCCAAGTATCACCATACCAAGTAGTATTGTGATTCCAGATTTAGCTTAGAATTACATTGATTAGGCATATGCATCCTACCGTTGAAGCATCTCTTTGAGTAGGCTATCACTTTTCTGTTTGTCCTGTGCCATCCATATTTGTGCATAGCCATGGTACCATGTTGTTAGCTAGCTAGCCAGGTAACATAACTAAACAAGGTTGTTTGTTATCAAACCAAAAACTTGCAGCTCGTCAGGAGTTGAAAAACGGCCTGCGACATGGTTCATTATATAAACTGGCACCAATTCGCAGTAGAAAGAGGAGAAGGTAGCTTCATTAATATGGAGCATAACTTTTGAGTGGTTTGGCCTAGAAACTCACGGTTTCCAGTGATGTAAAGGCGCAAGCATGACTGTCACCGTGCTCTGTTTTTCCTCTATGGCTGCCTGACAGCAAAGCCTAGCAGACTGGCCTGCTTGCTCTTACAGGTGAAATTAAAGATACGTATCCACGTCGCTCGCGCTGCAATACCTAAACAAATGTAACAACAGAAGCCTCATCAGTCTGCACACCCCAGCTCACCATCACGGCTAAATAACATTTTAAACCCGATGGAGATGCGCAGAAGGAACGGACTGAGAGAAGCAGCTGAGTAGGCTAATGGCTCTTTAGGGGATGTGGCTGGCTGCTCACAGCCGTCACAGGTGATATTGGATGAAGCACTCATTCTGATATAATCTCTCGTAGACCAATTAAATGCCAAACGTTCGCAAGATAATTTTACTTCTGGGTAACCGAGATTCATTTTGATATGACATCACGCTCTGAACTTTGTTTGATATTCTATTTGTAGGATTAGTAAAGATGCATTCTGTGCTCAGTCATTAACTTCAATATGTGAAACATACATTTACATTTTAGTCATTTAGCAGACGCTCTTATCCAGAGCGACTTAAAGTTAGTGCATTCATCTTAAGATAGCTAGGCGGGGCCTCCCGAGTGGCGTCACTACAGACACGGGTTCGATCCCGGGCTGTGTTGTAGCCGGCCGCGACTGGGAGACCCATGAGGCGGCGCACAATTGGCCCAGCGTCGTCTGGGTTAGGGGAGGGTTTGGCCAGCCGGGACGCTCTAGCGACTCCTTGTGGCAGGCCGGGCGCCTGCAAGCTGACTTCGGTCGCCAGTTGTACTGTGTTTCCTCTGACACATTATTGCGGCTGGCTTCCGGGTTAAGCAAGCAGTGTGTCAAGAAGCAGTGAGGCTTGGCAGGGTTGTGTTTCGGTGGACGCATGGCTCTCGACCTTCGCCTCTCTCAAGTCCGTATAGGAGTTGCAGCGATGGGACAAGACTGTAACTACCATTTGGGGAGAAAAAGGCGTAAAAAATGAATAAAAAAGTACAAAAAGAAATAAGATAGCTAGGCGGAACAACCACTTATCACAGGCATAGCAAGTACATTTTTCCTCAAAGTAGCTATCAGCAAAGTCAAAGCTAGTAAGGGGGGGGGGAAAAAGTTGTTTATTTAGTGATCACAGGGAGAAGAAGTCAAGATCTGTTTGCGCCTCTTTTATAGCTCAACGGGTGATCCACTGCGTCTGCACGCTTTACATTTAGTTTTTTTACGGATCTACACGATTCACGTGGATTACCTATTTGAGAACAAACCGGCGAATATCGCAGAAAAGTGAGGAGTTTGCATCTCTGTATGCTGTACATTTATGTTGTGTATGTGTGAGCCCCTTACCCTCTCAGCCACTGCTCTGACAGACAAGATGCTGGTCCCATAGAGGTTCTCGTTGAACTGGCCTGCCTCAATGAACTTATTATCCTGAATGTCCTTCTCCATCTGCTCCCGCGAGCCCACAAAGTGGTAGTCCTGTCCGTCCATCTCATTCTCCCGCTGAGGACGTGTCGTGTCTGCACAGAGAGAGGGACACGTTCAAATGATGGTTAGAGAGTAGTCGCTAAAACACAGTGTTTCCATAAGTTGCTGTGATAATGTGATGCATGTTGCTGAGTGGTCTACTCACGGGGAACACAGGAGCCAAACTTGTGAGAGAACTCTGAAATCAGGTCATCGTTAACTCGGTCTTTCATTGGGCCCAAGATGATCACAGGCCTCGTGTAATGAACTGCAAACGAGAGGATTCAGGTCAGAACTAATGTCTGCAAACACTGGAATAAAGACACAGCAAGCATTAAATGGTCTCCAACCCTCTTCTAAATGGAGAACAAATCATTTATATACGTATATTATACTCACTCTCCTGTCGAATCACTGGCTCGTATGAGAGAATTGTGTCTTCCTGGCCCTCTGAATAGCAGAAAGAAAGAAAACGGTATGAGTTAAGAGAGTAGTCTTTATTATAATCCCATGACAATGGATTACCAGATGTGGTTGATAGTAGTGGAATGTTTAAAGTACTCTTTTCATGCAGTCACCTTTTCCATAACAGCATATAAGAGACGGTTTTGCTACTAAAGGACCTGATACTACCTCAGTGGAACTACAGCACCGAGGATTCAAAGACATTCTGGATACAGGCGTAATGACGTGCGGCGTGCTTTTCATTTAGGTGGGTTATTTTAGAAACGAGGCATTCATTTTTATTTTCTTACAAAAAAAGACGGTTGCTTACTTGAGCTGCTTTCACTGTCGCTGGTGTTTGACGTCAGGCATTCTGCAAGGAGAGGAACATGTTTATGTTGGGGAAAGTTTAAAGCTGGTAAGTAGTAGTAAAGCCACATTCATTTTGGTGAAAACAATTATGTTCACCACCAGTCTCAGAGCATCAAGAAGAAAAAACCAACCCCCGTTGTCCCACTGCTTAACCCCAAAGAAAAACAGGCAGAGTGCCAGCGACGCCACTCTCTATAGGGGGAAGTGTTTGGAGGTGGCAGCAATAGGAAATTAAGTGTTTCCTTTCACTGACCCTGCGGTCCCTTGCCTATGTTTCCTATGGATGGGTCTGTATCTGTGACGGCAGATACAATGTCAGGGACAAGCCAAAGAAAACACAGTTGAAGTTAGCCTGTTAACAAGGATGCATGGGCACTGGGCAGTCAGCGCGGCTGGCTAACAGGGAAAAACAGAATAGGAAAAGCAATCCCTGTCCAGTCAGTGAAGGGAAGGGAGATACGAGGTTCCTCCAAGTAATCACTCTCTGACAATGCCCTGCTAAACTTTTATAGTAAAATCCCTACAAGTCAGACGAGGTCTAACGCTTGCACTCTTACCCTAGGGGTGTGTGTTTGTAAGTGTGTGTGTGTGTATCGGTAAACAAGAGTGAGCACGTGTGCGTGTGTGTTGCAGCCATTGCCAGTCGGGTTGAACAGGCGTTTAGCTCGGAGCTCAGGGAACAGCAGCTGCAGCGCGACAGTCCAACCACACACTTACTCAAACTCTTTGATCCATAAAAGTCATCGCTTAACCCTGGGAAGTCCTGAGTGTCCCGACAGGTGAGAGCAGAAACACAGAGAGAAGAGGCAGACAGAAGAAGAAGAGGTTAGTGAGCGCTGGAACGGGCCGAGAGAGAGAAAGGGAGGTGTGCTATGCTGCTCGCCTGGAGGCAGGCAAAGATGGGGGGACCAACACAAGGCACAGTGCGCCCTAAACCCGGAACGCCACTCTATTCCTAGTGAAATCCAACGTGTTTTTCAATTACACACAGTCAATCCCATTAAGAATGGGATTTTGACCCGTTGGTCTTAATGCTTTTTAGTTCTGCCGTCCAGTTAATGTGATTCTAGATCTGTGGGTCGAGGATTGACTGGGCAGCAGTGAATAGTGGGGATCTAACAGGGCCTCTAGCAGCAGTACACGGTTACTGTTTTAGTGCAGCCAGACACACACCTTCCCTGGCAGCCAGCAGAACACACCTGGAGTCTCCACTAGAGGACAGACAGACGGACACCAGAGAGAGGACGACACCTGAACCCCAGGCCTGGTTCTGTGTGGGTCTTCTCTGGGTGATTGAATAAGAGGGGAAAGACCGCACTGCCCACAGACAGACAGCCACGGTCTGCTCCCAGAGGTGAGTGGAGAGATGAAGCATGAAAGGAAAGCGTGAAAAGTAAAACCCCCTCGTATCACACACGTTGGGTACTCACGTTCAGACTCCACCAACTCCTGCACAATATTCTCCTTGCTCTTGTAAAACGGGAACTTGTGTGAGAGGTTGAAGCTTTTTTTGCGCTTTACTTTGATTGACTGCTTGGAGATGTGCATGATGAGGGGACAGGGGCGATAGGAGGGGTAATGAAACAACAAACAGAACAGAATGTTTTTGTTCAACGAGGACACCAAACACACATGCAAAATGAAATAAAACAGACAAAAATCTATAAAAAATTTAACAATAAATGAAGATAACCAGGGTGAAATGAATGGAACACTTATGCAAAGAAAAGATGCTACTTCCATTTTTGATCATAGAAACGGTATATAGAAGCTGAAATTACTTTCTTATATCATTACAGTGTGAATGATTGGGTCAAAATATTACATGAACATCATGTGATAACACTTAGCCAATCAATAATTGACCAACGAGAGCCTAGATTTGTGAACCAGGGGTTTCATACATTGCCTGATGTACACAGATTTTATATCACATAAAAAAAACACTAATGCACTTAGATAGGACAGTTCTTATTAAGCATTATAAACTGGGTGGTTCGAGCACTGAATGCTGATTGGCTGACAGCCGTGGTATACCACGGGTATGACGAAACATTTCTTTTTATGGTTCTTATTACGTTGGTAACTAGTTTATAACAGCAATAAGGCACCTTGGGGGTTTGTGATATATGACCAATATACCACGGCTAAGGGCTGTATCCAGGCACTCCACGTTGTGTCGTGCTTAAGAACAGCCCTTAGCCATGGTATACTGGCCATATACTACAAACTCCCTCGGCCTTATTGCTTAATTATTAAGCATGAGTCGGTTTGGTAGCCTGTCTGCAATGTAATGTATTCTGAGTCTTTAGTTTCCGCCACTAGCTCCAGTGAGTAGCTAGGTCCCTACTACATGCTCCTGTTCCCACACTGCCTGCCTCAGGGAGGGGGAAGTGGGTCAGCTCCCTGGGTGCCCACTGCCAGGCAGGAGAACCAGAGAGCACAGCCCTCCAGACTCACCCTGTTGGACTCGATCATGCCCGTCCTGGCGTGGAACTTGACTGTTTTTAACCTCGCTCGCTCTTTTTTCTCCACCCTGCATAGAAAAAGACATTTCAGTTCTCTTACTGAGGCACTTTTGAAAGTCACACGACAGCTGCACATTTTGGGTAGTAAAAGGGGGTGATGAGGTTACCTCTTCTTGCTTGGAATGACCCCGATTTGCTCGCTCTCCCCGTGGGGCGTGACCAGGCGTGCCTGCCACCACTCGTCATCGGAGGCGTTGATGACATGCAGGATGTCCCCATAGGAGAAGCTCAGGCCCTGGCTGGGCAGACAGCTGTCTCTGGTCCGGTCGTAGTCAAACAGAGCTCTACACACACACACACACACACACACACAGAGAGACAGACAGACAGACACAGACAGACAGACACAGACAGACAGAGACAGACAGACACAGACAGACAGAGAGACACAGACAGACAGAGAGCGAGACAGACAGACACAGAGAGAGAGACAGACACAGAGAGACAGCGAGAGAGACAGAGAGGTGTTAGTGTCAATCACTCAACAACATATTACTGCACCACACTAGTAACAGGTTGTGAAGTTTAAAACCCACTACTTCTCATGTAGCCCCGTGTAGCTCAGTTGGTAGAGCATGGCGCTTGCAACGCCAGGGTTGTGTGTTCGTTTCCCACGGGGGGCCAGTATGAAAAAATAAATAAATAAATGTATGTACTCACTAACTGTAAGTCGCTCTGGATAAGAGCATCTGCTAAATTGCTAAAATGTAAAAGATGAAATTTGACAATGTTATTGCAAAACAGACACTGGCTTCTTTGTTGCCACAGTTTCCATTGAAGACAGCTAGGCTGCTGTGGGTCTGTCTGTTCCCTGTCAGACAGGTCAACCACTGCTATTTTACAGGGAGGAATTCCTGCTCTAGAGGTTCCACTGCTGCCACCAATCTGACCTGGATCTGCAGGACACTACGTGGTCCAGTGTGGAATTGATCTTACCAGTGTGTTCTCCCTACTGGTTGCCTGGTCTGAAGAAGTATTCAGACTGCCCTGCTACTAGCTCCCTGCAGGTAATGGTATTGAGTCTCACTGCCAGGTTGCATGACTGCCTCCCCTCACACAGGCATTCAGACACACCCTGGGTATGTGTGTGTGTGTGTAGTTGGAGTGTGTGTGAGCACTGGAGAGGCCTCCTCACATTCCAGAGGCTGCTGCAGTGGGCTAAAACAGACACAGCCTTTTCCTCCATAACTGTATGCTTAGTCACCCACACAGATGAAAGGAAAGGATGGCTCTCCCTGGTTGACAGGAGAGTCTTAGAGAGCATTAGTCATCCTGGTTTACACAGTCTACAGGTGGTCCAATGAGCTAGAGTCTTGCTGGGAGATAACACGAATGGTTAAATGACAGAGCAGTAGAATCTTACTTTTTTCATTGACCGTTTTTGCTTTAGAACATTGAACTGATTACACTTCAAGTATTTTGATCTAGCTTATGTTCATAGTAAGATGCTTCCTTCTCTGTCAAGAATCTCCATCAAATAGGATCTGAAACTGTTCATATTATTGCAGGGGTTGTAGCCTAAATATTGGGCTCACGTGAAGCTGCTACACAGCACTTAACTTGAAATATGGTTCCTTGCTATCTCTCGCTCGCTCTCTCCGTCTCTCTCTCTGAGTGTTAAATCATAGATTCATCCTTTTCACCATGACCCCCCCCAGAGCCCTTCCTGTCCTGAATCAGGCAGCTGCACTCATTATAGCAGAGAGAGCGAGAGGCCTGCCACCTGTTACTCTTCCTGACTGACTGGCTGGGGTTCCATACAGTTTGGCTTCATGCCCACAATGTGATAACATTATGATACCAGCAGAACTTTCGCCATTCGTAGGATGCGCTATATGTAAAATAGTTCATGTGTGGCATCCAACAGAAAAGCTTGCTCATCAAATTAATCAGATATTTGGCATCCGATAGTTTAATGACCTACTTTGTGATGATGAAAAATCTTAGTATTTGTGAGTGGTGAGCTAAATGTGATGAGTTTGGGAGCTGTGTGTACTGTTTGTGTGTGTGTTCTGGTACCTGATGTAGAGGGAGCGTTTCTCGCTGGTGCACAGGGAGGTTTGTGTGTGTGTTCTGGTACCTGATGTAGAGGGAGTGTTTCTCGCTGGTGCGCAGGGAGGTTTGTGTGTGTATTCTGGTACCTGATGTAGAGGGAGCGTTTCTCTCTGGTGCGCAGGGAGGTTTGTGTGTGTGTTCTGGTACCTGACAGAGGGAGTGTTTCTCACTGGTGCACAGGGAGGTTTGTGTGTGTGTTCTGGTACCTGACAGAGGGAGTGTTTCTCGCTGGTGCACAGGGAGGTTTGTGTGTGTATTCTGGTACCTGACGTAGAGGGAGCGTTTCTCACTGGTGCGCAGGGAGCCCGACCCAGAGCTCATGCTGCTGTTCATCATCTGTTCCCTCAGGTCGTGGATCTTCGACTCAAACCGGCTGTACTCTGCAGGGACACACACAAACGGTGTCAAGTCACAATGTCACATACAATGTTTCTCCCCCTTTAATTCTCACACACAATCGGATGTACGGTTGATGCACTTGCAGGGACAGACAAACTGTGTCCATATCCGCAATGACACACATTAGGTTTGCAAAGGGAGGGTAAATTACTGGTAACTTTCAAAGTAATTCTGTAACATTGATGTTTCTTTTCATTGATTTGGCTAATTTCTCTTGAACCCTATGGTCTATCCACTAGAAACTCATGAACACAGATATAGAAGTGAATACTTCATATGAATATTTAAGTTATTCAAATATAAATTAACAAAATTACCATAGATTACCTGATCATCACCAAAATTACCAAACATTCCAGTAACTTTTGTAAATTACCGTTAGTTTTGAAACCCTAACACACACACACACATTTCCGTGTTTCTCCCCATTTCATTCTCACACACAGCACCTAAAAATACCATTGCTCCACCTTCCAGTTCTGAGGTCAACAACACATAGCCTGCATCAATGTGAAGTGACCCCAATCCTCTACTAGCGTCTCCTGGCCAGTGTGTGTGTGTGTGTGTGTGTGTGGCTCAGCGCTCGGGTGAGCAGAGTGTGAGTGGTGGAGTCCAGGTTCAGTAGCGGCTCTTTTCAGCCTGATTAATTACCTCAACACCAGATGGAGCTTCATCATGTATCTCCCTCACACATCCACTAATATCTCCTGTCAGGTCATTAATTATGCAGATTAATTAAGTAGGTTCAACAAGGAACTCAAACATGATTTTTTTAAAAGAAGCTAGCCACTCCAACACGTTTGAAAGCCAGTCCAACCCGTTTGAATGGATGACCATTTGTCATGGCGTATAAATCCCCTGCTTCCTGATATATGAATCCACCTGAGCCTCCTCATTAAACATGCACTCGTTAGACTAGGGCAATGGAGTTCGTGTGTGTCCAGGCTGCTGTAACAAGCCAACCAACCAACCCATAGGAAGTGTACACACTAGGCAACAAGATCAAAACCAACAGACGCTGATAGAAAAACAAGTACTCGTGATGAGAACAGTGTAAACGTCAGAAGCACAATGGTGTTTGTGGAGTGCCGCAACCAACGTTTGTATCTGCAGTCCCCAAAACATGAGATAAGGCAAGATAAAGCAAATATACGTGGAGGCAAAACATTGATTCCAACAGTATTGTGTCAGAGGTTCCACATTGCTAGTAACACACTGGACAAGGTGCCATTCATTCCATTGAGTGATACCCTACCACAAACCATTGCCTCTGAAGTCACCACTGTCGACAAACTAAGTGACATTCAGTACGTGTCAACTTCAAAAGGTTATACTTTTAAAACAGAGTTGCTTAAAACAAAAGATTGTTGTGCAATGAAACCGACTCCCATCCCCGTAAGGGTTTCACCCACCTTAGAAATCAGTCAGCTGGTTGGAAACACTTTCCAACATGAGAATGATCAGAGATCAATGTCCAGATATTGTGTACTGCAATGTTCTAAAGGTAGCCTAACCTCGGAAATAAACAACCTTTCCTCCAACGATGACTTAGGCTACTCCAGTTTCTCCGTAAATAAACCCTGTCAGATGTGAAAACAAGGTAATTCTCTCTGGCAGTAGGTCCCCGGCCTCAACTCCACCCCCCAAGCCGAAACCTGAAGTAGAGAGGATTCAAAGCAAACAGAAACCACTCCCGAGGCCTGCTGTGTAGTCTCCACCCTGCTCCCTCTCTCTGGCTGGCTGGGGTTAACGATACAGGAGGATGGCACAGCAAGGTGAGGTAACCCGACACCACCTGCCTGTAACCAGGGGCAACTCCCGGGCACTATCAGGAGCCACAGAGCAGCCTATGAGGAAGCAGCCAGGCAGACTAGTCCACTTGGCTCTCAGACAAGGGAGGGGAGAGAAAGGAACACTGCCGGAAGCAGGTATATTAGAGGGAGGGACAAGAAAAAAGACTAAGAGAGACCCAAACATTAGTGTCCTATTTCCAAGAATATCAACACAATACCACATCGTTAGTCAACGCTCCGCAGAGCAATGGAGAAGAGAGTGGAGTGGGTGGGGCCCTCACTCCTAAAGGTCTGTAAGCAGCACTGTATCCATTGTCAGTCGTCCCTTCAGTCCTAACCACCAGAGAGAAAGACGTTGAGGGGTAGGACCACCCTGCAGCCCCCCTCCAGCTGCCAGGCTCCACAGGGAACACATGTAACAACAGAGGATACAGCTGTAGTCTGCAGTCAGCCTGGCTTTCAGAGGGGATTGAAGCACCACAACCTGATACGGAGCAGAGTCCATAACCAAGTCAAAACATAGGAACGACAATCTTCATATCTACACTACCAAAAAGTACAAACTCTTATCGGAATAAGTATGATAGGAGAGTACATTTTGGAATGATCCCCGAGGAAGAAGTACAGGGAGACAAGAACAGAAACTGGGTCATTTCTGCATCTCGCCATCTCCTACTGCTTGTCCTTATTAGCTGTACTGTCTTTTATTTCTTTGTCGGGGGGGCTGCCTACATCGCTCTTGATCCAGTTATGCAACAGCCTGGGCATGTGTTTGTAATATGAGTGTACAGTGCTATGTTGCTATGTTCTCAGGGTTCATCTAGGTTGTGACTACTTTCCCCAGTGCTGTAACGGGAACATGTAAACTTGGGCTACACTCATCCGTAAAATGAGTTGTTGGGGTTGACATTTAGCCTACTCCTGTTGCTGTGAAACCCCTCGCCGGGGCAGGGATAAGGTCTACTGTAATTCTACCCCAGTGACATAGGGAGGGGGGTAGCATGAGAGTACGCTACGCACTACGCACCCCTCCATTCCACTCATTGAACTCAATGTTACGATTGAGAGTCAGAGAGACATTTGGTTGGCAGTCCAGTAAGTATGAAAGGGTGCAGTCACTACGCTCTGCTGTGAGTTCAGTTAATGTATTCTTCATCGCTGGCCTTCCATCAGAGGTCTGTGGAGTGGACAGCCAGGCTCCTGCCCCTGAGAGAGGAGTCCAGGCAGTGGGCCCAGCATGAAGCCGCATTCACACTCCACTTACTCCTGACTAACTGAGTGACTGTCCTCTAAAGCGGGCCGGGTCCCTCCTCTGAACAGACCCAGGCTAAGGACATGTCATGTCTGAGCTCAGGATGCCAGCTGAGTTATTGGCCACAGATCTTAGAGCACGCTTGACTCATCCGTCTAGGTCTGGTTAAGTATTGCCAGCGCTAGACTTTAACAGACACTGCTCTGAGTGTCCTTCATTGTCCTGAAGGACACAACAGTAGAGAGGCACAATACTACAAAAGGCACTATTGTATTGACTTGAGGCATTTTACAAAACAAGAGTTCACTATGGCAAATGCAAAGTTATTTCAAGATATCTTTTGACGCCTGTAGATCAAATATTTAACAGACTGGCAACAGTTACTATGGTAGAGGGGGCATCATAATAATGATCTACTGTAAAGACGCACTTTGCTGTTCTTGTGCTTGTAGGCACATCAGCCTAGTTGGCCTGGGCCATCAGCCCAGCTGCTTCCAGAGCCAGAATCCAACTCTGATTCAATGAGCTTTTCTGGTCTCCATTGCCTGACTTTTCTTCCCATAGAAATGCCAGATCCGTGGAGAGTAATTAAACCATCCTTGATCCAGGTTGATGTTTTATGTGTTATTGGAGGTATCTGGAATATGGGGGAGAACAAGCTACAACTTAGACTCCTACATTCCTGTCATAGTCCAAGCTGAGAGGAGAGCTGAGACCTAAAGCTCATAATATCCTTTCAATTGTTGTTACAGCATGTGCATGCATACTAGATTCTACTTCTAAAGAATGTCATATTTACCTATGATCTGCCCTTTAGGCTTTTGTTAGTAGGCTATGTGTTCATCTTTGTTACCTGAATATGAGTTGTTCTATGACATCAGAACTGCTAAAATGGCAATATCAAATCCTACTGACTCGTTCATTGCTTTAGGCAGAAAACTTAGTAAACATTATGTCAACGTGACCGGATGAGACATGTAAATGGTCATGCCTCACCCCGACATATCAATCAGGTGGTTGAACATTTTTGTTTCCTGATGAGGTCACTTCCTGAAATGACAGAAAACGTCCACGCACCTGCTCCATTCTGGTCAGGGCTAGAAGGGATGAAGCTGATGTCAAAGTGAGGTCAAAAGTTGCATGTTAAAGTTGCGTCGGGAGAATTTTTGCGTTTTAGCTAACCCTAACCTAATTCTCCTAACCTGTTACGAAAAGTCACTTCTAACATTAGCTGCATCACATCTAGTCAAAACCTTCCACTCTGACCACACCTCTCAGCGTACACCTGTGTGTTATCTAATGAGGCCTTTCATATCGCTAAATCAATAAGAACACTGACAAGAGTAACGTTAGATCACTAACTATGTGCTGACAATCTATTTGGACAGTAACTTATTAACTCGTTCACTATAATGCAACATTTATAACTACCTAGCTAATACACATTTAGATAACCTCTGACATGTTATTTAGGTTGAATACTAACCTTAACAAGCTAGATAACTAGACTTCCTCAATTAATTTGACTAACTACCCAGCTAACGTCGTTAGGTAAATTAGCTAGCTACGTTAACTAACTGCATTTGGTGGAAGCTGGCGATCTATGGGCACATAACTAGCTACTGTAGCTAGCTAACTAGTTAGCTACAAATACCATCTAGATTATAGCTAATTCCAAACGGATCCTAGCATCGGGTTTACCTAAGAATAGAGTTGACCAAAGGGCGCAAACATAAACTAACCAACGGCTTTGCCCCGTAACTTGGTTGGGCAACAACAGATAACCCTATAATGGCAAGTTACTCTCGTTAGCCGACCCCAAAAGCTTGCATGCCGACAGACAAAGTAAAGACACAAATGTTACAGTGAATGTTCTTGATTCCACTGTATTCTCTCCACCCTCTTTCCTGAAAATGGGAGCGCACGAGACAATAATTGCTCCTGCTTATTTCCTCACCTCTGTTCAGTGCAATGCTGTGTTACTTCGCAGCCCGTGGTATCTGATGATCCTAACATCCAGCCGACTGGGAATCCATGCCCATCCCCCATGCACATTTGTGTATAGCTGAAGAAGTTAAAAAGTTCCTCCACCTTTTCCTTTCGTCTCCCTAGTATATCCTCGCGCACGCTCTGTAATTATGTTCGCGCCCCTCTGCCTGCCCTCTCTCCAGTTTGCTTTGTTTCCGTTTTCCTTCCCTAGTACAGTGACAGCCGAAATAGGGCCCTTCGGTTGGCCCGCCTTGCAGTTGCCTCTACACTTCAGTCTGGCTGTACAGCGAATGTATTAATGTAAACGGTGCCCCTGAACATGAATCCAGGCACAGTGAGCCAATCACACAACGCTCTGTAGCCTACTGTCCTCATTTGCAAACCAGATTATCTTCAAGATAACTAAGCCAGACCAGGTAAGGGCTGCCTGTACCCTGATGAAGACAGCTGGTATGTGGAAACGTTTATACAATTATTGCATCTGAGCTCCTAGTGTGAGAGAGGCTCTCCTTTTCTTTTTCAAGGGCTGCCTACACCACTGCAGTAGTTTAAACATTTGGGACATTTACATGTCACATGCTTCTGAAAGATTGGTTTTACTGTATTGTAAATATTTACATTAGTAGGTCTACACTTCAAAGTAAGAACTACAAATACTGTAGGAGCAGGTTTGCTTAACTAGATCACATGTATGCCCCTCATTTAGCTCAGTCCTCGGTAAGACTGAGATGATTATTCAGCACATCTGTTCCACAACATAAAGATCAAGATAACATTGAAAGTAGAAGCTAAGAATGAGCTGTTTGTGCAGTTGCTCAGCAGCTCCCTTACTGCACACAAACAGACCATAAGTTGCTTTGGATGACAGCGACTAAAATGTAAAGTATGTGGGGTAGGTAGGTGTGGGTTGAGAGAGGGAGAAAGAGCAGAGAAACTCCTACCTTCTGGTCGGTACTGGGCGATGATGGTGACGGTCTGGCCGGCCCTCTTCAGCGCTGCAGCTGCCTGCTCGTGGGTGGCGTTCCGCAGGTTCACCCCGTTCACCTGAGACACAGAGCAGAGGGCAGAACCTCAACCATGGAGCCTTGATTGACATGTCAATGGACCAACCAACACTGTTCCTCACAGAGATATTGAGCCTACAAAGGAATGAGACTACCTGGCTCTGACATAAGGATGTACAGTGCTATGAAAAAGTATTTGCCCCCTTTCTAATTTTCTCTACTTTTGCATATTTGTGATACTGAATGTTATCAGATCTTCAACCAAAACCTAATATTAGATAAAGGGAACATAAGTGGACAAATAACACAACAATTACATATTTATTTCATAAACAAAGTTATGCAACACCCAATTCCCCTGTGTGAAAAAGTAATTGCCCCCTTACACTCAATAACTGGTTGTGCCACCTTTAGCTGCAATGACTCCAACCAAATGCTTCCTGTAGTTGTTGATCAGTCTCTCACGTCGCTGTGGAGGAATTTTGGCCCACTCTTCCATGCAGAACTGCTTTAACTCAGTGACGTGTGGGTTTTCAAGCATGAACTGCTCGTTTCAAGTCCTGCCACAACATCTCAATTGGGATTAGGTCTGGACTTTGACTAGGCCATTCCAAAACTTCCAATTTGTTGCTTTTTAGCCATTTTCATGTAGACTTGATCGTGTGTTTTGGATCATTGTCTTGCTGCAAGACCCAGCTGCGCTTCAGCTTCAGCTCACAGACGGATGGTCTGACATTCTCCTGTAGAATTCTCTGATACAGTGAAGAATTCATGGTTCCTATTAAGGCAAGTCGTCCAGGTCCTGAGGCAGCAAAGCATCCCCAAACCATCACACCACCACCACCATGCTTGACCTTTGGTATGATGTTCTTACTGTGGAATGCAGAGTTTGGTTTTCGCCAGGCATTACTGGAACCATGTCGTCCAAAAAGTTATACTTTTGAATAATCTGTCCATAGAATGTTCTTCCAAGAGTCTTGATGATCATCCAGGTGCTTTTTGGCAAACTTGAGTCAACTTTTTGGACGAAATGGGTCCCATTATGCCTGGTGAAAACCAAACACTGCATTCCACATTAAGAACATCATACCAAAGGTCAAGCATGGTGGTGGTGGTGTGATGGTTTGGTACTTTTTCATAGCACTGTAGAGGAGAGCCTCAGACTATTTACCCTCTCTTGGATCACCAGCTGGATGATTAGTTTTCAATCAGTGGAGGTATGACCTTGGCATGATGAACAGTTTCGTGACTAGAGAAAATGGCTGAGTCACAATGGGGGGCCTTGCATTAGATATAAGAAATTATTGGTTTAAATGAGAACTGTGACCTTGACTGGAAGATGGTCCAATGGTGTCTCTTTGGATTACTTTGATTCCATGCTGCCCAATTTACCATATTTAGCCTGTTACCCCTTTGGGTCTACTCCCCTCTCCATTGTTATTGTCTATTGGTAAAGGCAAGTCTTTGATGGTAAATCTTCAGTGCTAAAACACCTTAAATGCATTTGGGAGCTATCTATGTCGCTATGTCGAAGCACTAATACTGTATATACTATGCAACCTGCTGTACATTTTAAAGCAAATATCTTAGATGTGCAAGCCCTGCCACAGGTTGGCTGGCTGGTTAGTTAGTTGCCAGGACCGGTAAGCCACTGACCGAGAGGATGCGATCTCCCCTTCTGAGCTCTCCGCTCAGGTCTGCTGGTCCTCCGGCCAGGATGAAGGAGACAAAGATGCCCTCTCCGTCCTCGCCGCCCACGATGTTGAAGCCCAGCCCCGTGGAGCCCTTGTGCAGCAGCACCTTCCGCGGCTCCCTGCCAAACAGAGCGACAGCGTCAGGGCGCGTTGCGGGACTGGGAGCACAGGAGAGAGGCAGAGACAGACAGAGAGAGGGAGAGAAGTGTTTAGATTATTCATTTGTTCATTCATTCATTCATTCAACAACAAAAAAAACATAAAACTTGAAAAAAAACATACATGCACTTGAGTAAAATCATCGAGAATAACACAACGTCTGGGACTTATTTCCATTGTGGTCCTCTTGAGACAAGATGGCTAGGCAAGATCGGACACGGTTGAACACAGTATGACAACGAGATAATAAAACATAAAAACAAAGAAGAAGAACATCTATCTCATCATTGCAGTTACATCGTAGGGTACATTCATATGGGCACAGAAGACATAACGTTTTTTAACTTTATTTTTAAAGCTGCCCAGAGAGGATGTTGTTTTTATGGTCAGAGGCAACTCATTCCACTCTGAGGCTCCAGTATACAAGAAAGTACCATTCCCAGCATTACTCCTGAACCTGTATTAGCGCACATTAGCAACACCTGATCTGGTGCTGTGGTTGTGTGCATCCCTAACATGGGGAAAGTAGTCATTCAGATATCTGGGTGCAGAACCATAAATCCTCCTGTAAACCAGACCCAGTCTAATCTGGGACACCCTAATTAAACCAGACCCAGTCTAATCTGGGACACCCTAATTAAACCAGACCCAGTCTAATCTGGGACACCCTAATTAAACCAGACCCAGTCTAATCTGGGACACCCTCATTAAACCAGACCCAGTCTAATCTGGGACACATTAATTAAACCAGACCCAGTCTAATCTGGGTCACCCTCACTAAACCAGACCCAGTCTAATCTGGGAGACCCTAATTAAACCAGACCCAGTCTAATCTGGGACACCCTCAACAGGCAGCCAGTTGATTCCTGAAAGCAGCTCCTGCCTATGTGAGTATATGGACTCACCTTCAATAGTACCCTGTTCTTCCCTTTAAGAAATGGAACACTAGTCACTTTAATCATGTTTACATATCTTGCACTACTCATCTCATATTTATATATTCTATTCTATAATATTCTACTGTATCTTAGTCCATGCCGCTCTGTCATTGCTTGTCCGTATATATTCTTACTAGTTTTGTGTGTATTGGGTATATGTTGTGAAATTGTTAGATATTACTTGTTAGATATTACTGCACTGTCGGAGCTAGAAGCACAAGCATTTCGCTACACCTGCTATAACATCTGCTAAACACGTGTATGTGACAAATACAATTTGATTTGATTTGATCATCTTATTCTGGGCTATCTGGAGCTTCCCCTTCAGAAGCTTAGATAAGCCCCCAAACCAGGAAGTACTAGCGTGATCAAAATGGTATTGAATGAGGGCAGTGGCTAGCACTCTCATTGAGTCCTTATCAAGCAGCTTGGACATTTTAGCCAGAAACTTGGTCCTGGCATTAACTGGCCATGCTCACCCCCCCCCCAAGCTTCCATCAAGGATGCATCCCAGGTAGCTAACAGAGGTTTTAGTAGTGGAAAGTGAGGGAGAGAAAGACAGAAGGGGAGACAGAGGCAGTTTAGGAAACAGCCCACACCAACATCTGTTTATACATGCCACCAACTTGTATTCTGGAAAAGGTGACACATACATATCTCATTTTGCAATAAGTATACAATCCTTGGACTATGCTGCCGCAGAGCCTGAAGAGAAGTGCTTTATATACATGTTTCAAAGTAAGTACTTTCATTTACCTTTGCAGGAAAAAAGATTGCAGCATATAAATGAGTAATAAACATCCTTACACAAACAGGAAATTAAATACTTAGACGGCACTCTCACACGTGCTGAACTACACTGACAATAGGCCTGTAGGAAGAACATGTGGTGATTATGATCAGACTTCACCTCGAACAATGCTTTGAGTTTCAAGGCACAACTGGGCCCACCAAGACATGCTGTCTTTTGCATGAACTATTTGCCCCCTCAAGCGCTGTTCCGTTTCACGCTCATGTGTGTGTGCGGGCACACAAACACACACACCCACAATGAGCAGCCCCACGCATGACTGCTCCTGCTGCAGCTCTGTTTTAGTTTTAGCTGCTGTGAGTCAACAGGCAGGCTGAATTCCAGACTGTGTCGGACTGAGGATCCTGAAGAGGCCAAACCACTGCTAGGGACCATCAAAAACCTTCTGATAATATGCCTCAGACTATAAGGCAAAGACACACTCTGCAGAGGCTCTGGAAGCTTACACACACAGTCGCCCCTCTCAGCAGAGCCCTCCGCATGGTTCCCATTAGTGGTCTTCACTCCCAGTACTCAGCCTGCGGTCCACAAGAACAATTCCTACTCAATCCCTAATGGCTTTGCTCTAAGTTGCTGAAGAGACTCTTTTTACGTCAATGGGAGCCAAGACTGCATACAATATACTTTCCTAGCATTATGATTGTTCCAGTAAAACATGTGAAGAGGCATGGTACGTTTTAAATGGTTTCACAAAGGTTGATTAACATGAATAAAAGGTACTTAGACTGAAGAGCAATGATTGTATGGTACATACATAAATACCTCATATTGATCTAAAACCCATATCAGCACATTCTGGATTGTTACAAGAGGGTTGGATCCAAAATTATTTTCCAATCGTTCCGTTCTGAACATAACCCTTATTTTTTATGTTCCATTCCAGTGTTCCAACCAGAAAATAAAGTTCTGAACTGGTTCAAACCCAAAAAAAGTAATGGTTCATATAGTTCCTTTTTGTTATTTTTTTACCTGTGAAATCAACATAATTTTTACAAAATAGCTCATTAATTTACTTGACCCATTAGTATAGATAGAAAAGCTTGCTCTGGAACGTGTAAGCTAGTTGTTTGATTGGTCAGATAAATGCAGGCTCGAGATGCGACTGAAATTTCACTGATGGGGAGAAAGTGAGAGAGAGGGACAGACATGGAGGGGGCTTGGCTTGAAGCGCCGAACATCATGACATGATATGAATTGGAATATGGTCAGGCTATTACTAGCATTGTAACTTCACCAAATTACAGAATGATATACTAGACATTAGGAATATTTTTGGGAACAAAAAATAACATTATTAACCGGTTCTCAAGATTTGAAATGAACGGTTCTGTTCCGGAACACTAGAGATCACTTTCGTTCCCGGTTCCGTTTCCGTTCCTCGGTTTTCAGTTCTGTTTCCTGAACCGGTTCCAACCCCTGGTTACAATACCCTCCAAATCTAATGCATTTCCTCTAATGAGAGTCCATTCATTTAGGTTCATGCCCATGGCTTCAATCTAGAGCATACTGTATGAATAAAGCTTATTCAGCAATGAAAGCCTGATGAACAATAGTAGCAGTGCAGTAGGTCTGGGTCTGAATAAGGCAGTCTTTTTCAAATGACTGCATTAGGTTTGTTCCCACATGGGAGGGTGAGTCACAGAGATTCATTAAGCCCATACTGACCACACACATACACACTCAATCTCTTTCTGTAATCCATGTACAATTCTGCTTAGCAGAGGCTCTTTTCTATCTTTCTAAAGGATGAATACCTTTTTGAAAAACGACATAACACTAACAAACATAAATAGAAGACATGAGATATGATCTTAAAAGACTTCATGAAATAGCAGCAAGCAGCGACACAAGAGGACCGTTGTACCCCGCAAAGCGGACCAGGCAGTATTTGATCATCCAGAGGAGCTCTATGTACTCCCATTCCAACACAGACAGCCGCATCACCATGGTTACCTGAGGTTCCTATGTATGCGCCTGATTGACAGTTGCTTCCTCAGCTGCTCGGGGTGAGCTCTCACAAACGACATGGAGAAGGAGATGTTCACCGTGAACATTGCGGCTACTGACTGTGGCACATTATTACTCTAACCCCAGGCATTATTACACTAACTCCAGGCATTATTACACTAACCCCAGGCATTATTACTCTAACCCCAGGCATTATTACTCTAACCCCAGGCATTATTACTCTAACCCCAGGCATTATTACTCTAACCCCAGGCATTATTAGACTAACTCCAGGCATTATTACACTAACTCCAGGCATTATTACACTAACTCCAGGCATTATTACTCTAACCCCAGGCATTATTACACTAACCCCAGGCATTATTACACTAACCCCAGGCATTATTACACTAACCCCAGGCATTATTACACTAACCCCAGGCATTATTACTCTAACCCCAGGCATTATTACACTAACTCCAGGCATTATTACACTAACTCCAGGCATTATTACACTAACCCCAGGCATTATTACTCTAACCCCAGGCATTATTACACTAACTCCAGGCATTATTACACTAACCCCAGGCATTATTACACTAACTCCAGGCATTATTACACTAACCCTAGGCATGATTACACTAACCCCAGGCATTATTACACTAACTCCAGGCATTATTACACTAACTCCAGGCATTATTACACTAACTCCAGGCATTATTACACTAACTCCAGGCATTATTACACTAACTCCAGGCATTATTACTCTAACCCCAGGCATTATTACTCTAACTCCAGGCATTATTACACTAACTCCAGGCATTATTACACTAACTCCAGGCATTATTACACTAACTCCAGGCATTATTACACTAACTCCAGGCATTATTACTCTAACCCCAGGCATTATTACTCTAACCCCAGGCATTATTACTCTAACCCCAGGCATTATTACACTAACCCCAGGCATTATTACACTAACTCCAGGCATTATTACACTAATCCCAGGCATTATTACACTAACTCCAGGCATTATTACATTAACTCCAGGCATTATTACACTAACTCCAGGCATTATTACACTAACTCCAGGCATTATTACACTAACTCCAGGCATTATTACACTAACCCCAGGCATTATTACACTAACTCCAGGCATTATTACTCTAACCCCAGGCATTATTACTCTAACTCCAGGCATCATTACTCTAACCCCAGGCATTATTACTCTAACTCCAGGCATTATTACACTAACTCCAGGCATTATTACACTAACTCCAGGCATTATTACTCTAACCCCAGGCATTATTACTCTAACTCCAGGCATCATTACTCTAACCCCAGGCATTATTACTCTAACTCCAGGCATCATTACTCTAACCCCAGGCATTATTACTCTAACTCCAGGCATTATTACACTAACTCCAGGCATTATTACTCTAACTCCAGGCATTATTACACTAACTCCAGGCATTATTACTCTAACTCCAGGCATTATTACTCTAACCCCAGGCATCATTACTCTAACTCCAGGCATCATTACTCTAACTCCAGGCATCATTACTCTAACTCCAGGCATTATTACTCTAACCCCAGGCATTATTACTCTAACTCCAGGCATTATTACTCTAACTCCAGGCATTATTACTCTAACTCCAGGCATTATTACTCTAACTCCAGGCATTATTACTCTAACCCCAGGGAGAAGTTAGCTATCCCCCTAACACCGCTCTCTATCGCTCCCTTACTGGTGAGAGGAGCTCTGGTTGAGTCTCGCTGTGTACCGACGGAATCTCGGGCTGTTGTGTGATTGGGAAACAGCTCCACATTGGGCTGTCAAACTCTCCTGCTCATCATCAGCAACAGGACAAGACTTAACCCTCACCCAGACGCAGCAACAGCACACCAGCATTCCTGTCCATCAGCCCAGCCCTCTGGAGATTAGGCAGACAGTCTCCCAGCAACTCCCTGCTAATCTGTGATAGAATAAACAAGCTGAGGAAGTCGTGAACTTAACTTTCAAACCCCTGACATCGCATCCTAAAAGAACTGATGACAGTCAGGACCCGGCAATAACAGAGGCCCAAAGTTGTCTTTCAGTAAAACAGCAGGATACAACTGAGGAGAAAATGTGAATAACCGAAGTGACAAGGAGATGTGTTTACGTTCTTTGAGTGTTGGTGCTCTCTAGTTAAAGGTGTGTGTTTGTTTTGTGTGCCAGCACACGTGTGTATGGAATCCTGATAACAGAAAAAAGGCTTAGGCAGTGAATCCCAAAGGTTACGAACACAGGGATCAAGCACTCCCTCCCTATCATGTGACTACCTCCCCCGTCGTCTTTTCATCCACGCCAGGAATGTAAACAGTTATGGTGCTGTAAAACCTTTACTCTCTATGCCTGTCTATGGGCCTCTCTCTCCCGTTCACCCTGTCTCTCTCTCCTTCTCTTTCTTTGTCTCTCTCTCTCTTTGCCTCACTCACTCTCTCTCTATATCACTGCCCCAGCCACCCCCTTCCCCTCTGTGTTTTGGCTGAGGCAGCTCAGTCCTAATGCTCTGAATGGAGATGTGGGCTGTGGGGTTCAGCGGGTCGTGCTGCCCCAGTGCTCTGCTGCTCTGCTCTGGCAGTCTCCCTCTCCTCAGCCCAATAATTGGCTCTGCTTGGCTGATTAATAGTGGACACTGTGGACCACCATTTTCCATGAACACAGAGAGACAAAGTCTCAGTGGAAAACATTAGCTCCCTCTCTTTCTCTCTGGAAGGGTCACAAGCCCGTAGCGTGCAGGGCTGGCGTATACAGATGAAAGAAAGACTGCTCTCTCGTCCCTCTTTTAGTTTTCCCCTTTACATTCTCCAGTGGATTGTACCGCTACTGCCTCTCTCTCTTCTTAGACCTACTATTTCATTCTAATTCAGTGGTATTCAAACTTCTTCAGCGGGGACCCCATTTTTCCCGCTAGTTTTTCTTGTGACCACACCCCAAATCTAATGACACAACCTTTAAATAATTATTCAAATAATTCAAAATTAATAGCATTTTCATCTCTTATCAAAATGTAAAAAAAAACTATAAATACATTTACTCAATAACATTGTATCTTTCAAAACGATCTTTCTCAAAAACTTTTGTATATTGTCCCAATCTGTACTCTTAATTTTTTGTTCCCAAATATATATATATATATATATACATTTAATGGCAACCCCACTGCAGTAGTGGGGCCGCAACCCCGACTTTGAATACCACAGTTCTAATTTGACATGGAAAAGGCGACAGACGGTTCAATATATTTCAAGCCTCTCTGAGCACCTAAGAATAAACCAGACGCAATGAATGATTAACAGTTTAGACTCACTCTGGAGTTCAACTGAACAATTACTTTGTTCTAACCTTTCCGCTGTCTCTGTCCAGACTCACTCCTATCTCTGCTATGAATGGTTTCCAGTGGCCATTGAAGACCCTGCTGCTAATGTGTATAAATCCCTGTGACCCTCTCTAAAAGCTTGCCAGGTCAAAGGTTGATCGGATTCCAGAATGAAGAACAACGTCAAGTTACTGATTAGCTCACCTGCTGCAGGCTCTGTGTTTACAGTAGCTAGTCTCTGGGAAAACAGTCCTGGCCAATAGCATTCTTTACTCTGATAGCGCCCAGTTACACAGTTCAGGTGGCGGTAATGGTCAGCTGAGACACAAACACATGCGCTGGTCATGAGGTCTCATTTGAAAAAATATATTGTATCTCAACAAGATTAACCTGGATTAATAAAGCTCACATTGCCTGTAGCAGGGCTCTCCAACCCTGTTCCTGGAGAGCTACCGTCCTGTAGGTTTTCACTCCAACCCTAATCTAGCACACCTGATTCTAATAATTAGCTGTTTGGTAAACTGAATCAGGATAGTTACACCTGGGGTTGTAGTGAAAACCTACAGGAGGGTAGCTCTCCAGGAACAGGGTTGGAGAGCCCTAGCCTATAGAAACCTGTGATATATTAAGATCTCTGCGTATGATTCCAGTGAGCTAGTAGTGCCAGTGGTGGACCTGGGTGCATGGCCTGGTTTTCCCAGAGTGCAGATGAATCACGACAGCTGCAGGAATGTCCGGTGTCTGGCGCTCCTCATTTGCTGCCCCGTGCCGGATCAGCCTCTCACTTCCCAGTACGTTTATGGTTAAGACCACGGCCCAGTGTTTATATTTACATAAGGACAGCAGCAGGCAAAACATTCCTGTGCTGCAGAGCTGTGTGTGTGAGCGATGACAGCCTCCAGTTACCCCTCCTCCCAATAGTGTCTGTTCGCTTTACCCCTACAGTCTGTCTACAGCAAGACCTGGATACCAGGATACAAACACCTGCATGCAAGCATATATGCATAAACACACACTGGCACATACACACAGGTACTGGTGGCATGTACTGTACACACACACAGGCATCCATGCACATTGACATAGATTAGACACGCATACTCTACACAATCATAAATACAGTGGCATGCACCCAGCAACATAAAGGCCTCCATGATGACATTGTGATTGATAAGGGAAGTGCAGACATTGTAGAGTGGACACGCAACATGAAAAGACACTGAGTGTACAAAACATTAAGGACACCTGCTCCTTCATTTACATTTGAGTCATTTAGCAGACACTCTTACCCAGAGTGACTTACAGTAGTGAGTGCATACATTTTTCATGCTTTTTCGTACTGGTCCCCCATGGGAATCGTACCCACAACCCTGGCGCTGCAACTGAGCCACGTGGGACCCCCAGTCTATTTCCATGACATAGACTGGCCAGGTGAATCCAGGTGAAAGCTATGATCCCTTATTGATGTCACTTGTTAAATCCACTTCAAATCAGTGTAGATGAATGGGAGGAGACCGGTTAAAGAAGGATTTTTAAGCCTTGAGACAATTGAGATATGGATTGTGTATGTGTGCCATTCAGAGGGTGAATGGGCAAGACAACATTTTTAAGTGCCTTTGAACGTGGTATGGTAGAAGGTGCCAGGCACACCGTTTGTGTCACGAACTGCAATGCTGCTGGGTTATTCACGCACAACAGTTTCCTGTGTGTATCAAGAATGGTCCACCACCCAAAGGACATCCAGCCAACTTGACACAACTGTGGGAAGCATTGGAGACAACATGGGCCAGCATCCCTGTGGAACGCTTTCGACACCTTGTAGAGTCCATATCCCGATTATTGAGGCTTTTCTTAGGGCAAAAGGGTGGGGTGCAACTTAATATTAGGAAGGTGTCCTTAATGTTTTGTACACTCAGTGTATGACAACACATAAAAACAAATCAACTAAACAGACACAGAGATAGGTAGATGACTTAAAATACACTCATAAACAACACAGACACACACTAACAGACATTCTATCCATATATCCACTGTAGAGGTTTTCAGTAGGGAAGCTAGGACAATGACAGTGGCTTGGCTGGGGACTCAGGCCTGGGTTAAACTCAGCTCCTGACAGATGGAATTGAACAGCATGTGGGAGCGAGTGGCCCTGTCAGCCATACTGCTGTGGAGACGTGTGTCTCTGTGAAGGGCAAGTATGACTCTCTCATCTTGAACTCTCACTTAGCCGACTCTGCCTCGACCTCGCCTCAGTTCAGACTGGAGTGATGTTACTGTTTCTAATTCATATACATGATCAGTTTGATGACTGATTAAAGGTATTTAACACTATTAACACAGTATTTACAATCTTAATTAATGTGAAATGGTATTTATGAACATTTCCAATAACTGAATGGAGGTTAGAATGGAAGTCTCCGCTCTAAACAAAACAATCAATCAAATGTATTTATAACACCTTTTTACATCAGCAGATGTCACAAAGTGCTTATACATAAACCCAGCCTAAAACCTCAAAGAGCAAGCAATGCAGATGTAAAAGCACGGTGGCATGGAAAAACTCCCATGAAAGGCAGGAACCTAGGAAGAAACCTAGAGAGGAACCAGGCTCTGAGGGGTGACCAGTCCGCTTCTGGCTGTGCTCGGTAAAGATTATAAGAGTACATGGCCATTAAGGCCAGATCGTTCTTTAAGATGTTCAAACACTCATTGATGACCAGCAGGGTCAAAGAATAATCACAGTAGTTGTAGAGAGTGCAACAGGTCAGCACCTCAGGAGTAAATGTTAGTTGGCTTTCCATAGCTGAGAATTCAGAGGGAGAGGGAGAGGGAGAGGGAGAGAGAGAGAGTGTGTAGGGAAAACAACCTTTAATATGTTAACTGGAAAATACAAATGTAGATGAGTGGATGGAGAGGATGAAAGGAACATCAGTGGAACACGTTCACACTTGACTTGAGGGGGAGTTTCTGTCATTTCTTTGTCATTCCAAGGCAGGGCCGTAGCTTGTTAGTAAGGTCAGCTAAGCGTACGCAGCGATGTCTCTGGGTTAGTACCTGCCAGAGGAGGGGACAGGGCCTTGGCCAAAACAGTAGCCTGTGTCCCGGGGTGCCCCCCCACTGTAGAGACCCAGGGGGACACTGCTGTAGAGACCATGGGGAACCCCGCTGTCCCCATGTTGTTTGTGAATGACACTGTAAATAGGTTCAGGCCTGGTGGCCTGGTGGGGGAGTACAGAGATCACAATGACTGGGGCTTGAGAAGGACACAAACACAGAACACACAAACACACTTACAATACACATGACAAATACACAGGACAATACTCATACGTACGTGCACATACAGTGGGGAAAAAAAGTATTTAGTCAGCCACCAATTGTGCAAGTTCTCCCACTTAAAAAGATGAGAGAGGCCTGTAATTTTCATCATAGGTACACGTCAACTAAGACAGACAAAATGAGAAAAAGATATCCAGAAAATCACATTGTAGGATTTTTTATGAATTTATTTGCAAATTATGGTGGAAAATAAGTATTTGGTCAATAACAAAAGTTTCTCAATACTTTGTTATATACCCTTTGTTGGCAATGACACAGGTCAAACGTTTTCTGTAAGTCTTCACAAGGTTTTCACACACTGTTGCTGGTATTTTTGGCCCATTCCTCCATGCAGATCTCCTCTAGAGCAGTGATGTTTTGGGGCTGTCGCTGGGCAACACAGACTTTCAACTCCCTCCAAAGATTTTCTATGGGGTTGAGATCTGGAGACTGGCTAGGCCACTCCAGGACCTTGAAATGCTTCTTACGAAGCCACTCCTTCGTTGCCCGGGCGGTGTGTTTGGGATCATTGTCATGCTGAAAGACCCAGCCACGTTTCATCTTCAATGCCCTTGCTGATGGAAGGAGGTTTTCACTCAAAATCTCACGATACATGGCCCCATTCATTCTTTCCTTTACACGGATCAGTCGTCCTGGTCCCTTTGCAGAAAAACAGCCCCAAAGCATGATGTTTCCACCCCCATGCTTCACAGTAGGTATGGTGTTCTTTGGATGCAACTCAGCATTCTTTGTCCTCCAAACACGACGAGTTGAGTTTTTACCAAAAAGTAAAATTTTGGTTTCATCTGACCATATGACATTCTCCCAATCCTCTTCTGGATCATCCAAATGCACTCTAGCAAACTTCAGACGGGCCTGGACATGTACTGGCTTAAGCAGGGGGACACGTCTGGCACTGCAGGATTTGAGTCCCTGGCGGCGTAGTGTGTTACTGATGGTAGGCTTTGTTACTTTGGTCCCAGCTCTCTGCAGGTCATTCGCTAGGTCCCCCCGTGTGGTTCTGGGATTTTTGCTCACCGTTCTTGTGATCATTTTGACCCCACGGGGTGAGATCTTGCGTGGAGCCCCAGATCGAGGGAGATTATCAGTGGTCTTGTATGTCTTCCATTTCCTAATAATTGCTCCCACAGTTGATTTCTTCAAACCAAGCTGCTTACCTATTGCAGATGCAGTCTTCCCAGCCTGGTGCAGGTTTACAATTTTGTTTCTGGTGTCCTTTGACAGCTCTTTGGTCTTGGCCATAGTGGAGTTTGGAGTGTGACTGTTTGAGGTTGTGGACAGGTGTCTTTTATACTGATAACAAGTTCAAACAGGTGCCATTAATACAGGTAACGAGTGGAGGACAGAGGAGCCTCTTAAAGAAGAAGTTACAGGTCTGTGAGAGCCAGAAATCTTGCTTGTTTGTAGGTGACCAAATACTTATTTTCCACCATAATTTGCAAATAAATTCATTAAAAATCCTACAATGTGATTTTCTGGATTTATTTTCTCCATTTGTCTGTCATAGTTGACGTGTACCTATGATGAAAATTACAGGCCTCTCTCATCTTTTTAAGTGGGAGAACTTGCACAATTGGTGGCTGACTAAATACTTTTTTTCCCCACTGTACATAGAAACTATTACACACAAACATTGTAGAACTACACGCCCATACAGTCATTGCCACGCACATCCCACATACACACATGCACACGCACCCACACACATCAACACGCACACTCACTCACACACACACAATAGCTCGGGGTATTAAGGTGATGCTGCGCCTCTTAAATCAAGCTCTGTGAATGTTGTTTCAGTGTTTGGCCAAGAGGTCGTAAGGCAGAACGAGGGACTATGTGATGAGCAGAGCCCCACCTGTTTTGAGCCCTACATTTGTAGCTTTTTTTTTTGCTTGCCTGTTTTGCATGTTATTTTGGCATTAATACGTGTCACATATCAGTTTGCAAACAGCATGGCTACCACAGCATTCTGCAGCAATACGCCATCCCATCTGGTTTGAGCTTAGTGGGACTATCATTTGTTTTTCAACAGGACAATGACCCAACACACCTCCAGGATGTGTAAGGGCTATTTGACCAAGAAGGAGAGTGATCAGATGACCTGGCCTCCACAATCACCTGACCTCAACCCAATTGAGATGGTTTGGGATGAGTTGGACTGCAGAGTGAAGGAAAAGCAGCCAACAAGGGCTCAGCATATGTGGGAACTCCTTCAAGACTGTTGGAAAAGCATTCCAGGTGAAGCTGGTTGAGAGAATGCCAAGAGTGTGCAAAGCTGTCATCAAGGCAAAGGGTGGCTATTTGAAGAATCTAAAATATAAACTATATTTTGATTTGTTTAACACTTTTTTGGTTACTACATGATTCCATATGTGTTATTTCATAGTTTTGATGTCTTCACTATTATTCTACAATGTAGAAAATAGTAAAAATTAAGAAAAACCCTTGAATGAGTAGGTGTGTCCAAACTTTTGACTGGTACTGTATATTGAGTTGATAAAGCCGCATACAAACATGGTCTCTTTTTTGCTTTCTTGAGTAAGGCAGCTCCAAAATGAAGGTGTTTCAGCCTAGCTCAGCGCTTTCTGTGGTGGTGGGGAATCCAGCGGAAAATACGGAGTGTAGGTGTTGGTATTGTTCTCTAGTTGCGCTGTGATTGGCTCAGTGTTCTTTCACTCATGGGGACACTACATCCCCGCCAAGTCTAAGCGTAGAGCTCGAAAATTCAAGCCCATTGGGTGCTGCCATTGAGTTACATTAGAAGTGCCCATCCAAGAAGACTTAAGGTCAATGGCTACAGATAAGATGACGTCAAATCACATTATATCTACAGTAGCTTTGATTGGACTGATCATGTCAACATCATACTTTCAAAATCTTAGCTAGCAGTCATCATCATGAATCAAGTCGACAATCTACTGGCAAATCCTTTTTAATCCTTGTCATATGAAGATAAATAATGAAGAGAAATTATAGATAAAACGTATCGGTGCTCATTGGCCATTGGACATAAACATTACATAACAAGTTGGAAATCGCAAATTCAACTATGAGTGGTTTGGAAGGAATCAGTGGCTAACTGCAAGCATTTCAAAGCAATCACTAGCCTGTTATTCAGTGGAGTGGCTGTGTGGTCGCAAATCTGGGATTAAGAGTCTCTTTTCCAAGTTTAAAATGATAAACATTCAACATTGGCCATGCTGTCAATGAAGCATGATTTGTGCCGCGCTCAAAACAACTATTAATTCGGAACTGCGAAAACTTTACTTCAGTGAGTTCAAGGCAACTGGGAACTCGGGAAAAAATGAGCTCCGACTGGGAAAATACGCTTTGAACGGTCATCCAACTCGGAATTGTAAATCCGGAACTCGGGCCTCTTTCTATAGCTACGACCTGAATATCACTGACGTCATCATGATTCTACCTGTTTTTTTTCAGAGTTCCCAGTATGAAAAATGTATGCACTCACTGTAAGTCGCTCTGGATAAGAGCATCTGCTAAATGACTCAAATGTAAAAATGTAAAAATGTCTTGAAAGCACTATAAATCCAGAAAATGCCAGAATTTGATGTCAAAATTTGCCCACGAAGGACCCCCTTCCTGTTCAAGTGAGCACAGCATAACAAGTTGAGTCCAAAAATGTATTGTATGCTGCTGCATAAATGATGTAATATGCCAGGGAGATATGTATACTGTAACTAAGAAAGTAATACTAAGTGTATGTTGTGTAGTAGAATGTTAGTAGCCCATGTGCCTCACCCTAATAATTTGGTCTATTTTCCCCTCTTAATTTCGCCTACTGTTCTGACTTGGTGGTACACATGTAGCCTATAGCCTGTTTTAGAGAAATGTCATCATCGAATATTGTAAGAGCTTTCATTGTCTGCTTATATGCCCCCTTATTTATCCTACGGTTCTGACTCGGTGTACAGGGAGAATACTGTAAGAACGGCTCATGTTCTGAATTCTGTCGCTGTACATTTCAAAAGTGCTGAACAAATAGTTATATTGACTACGTCTGTCCTAGCTTGCTCATTAATGTCTTAATCGAAATTACAGATTGCCTCGTTTCCGCTCGTCGTCCCCTTATGCCATAGATTGTACATCTCAATTGTCAGTAGAAACCACATTTGTTTAAGTGGCTCCCGTTTGGCCACTCTAACATAAAGGCCTAATTGGTGGAGTGCTGCAGAGATGGTTGTCCTTCTGGAAGGTTCTCCCATCTCCACAGAGGAACTCTAGAGCTCTGTCAGAGTGACCATCGGATTCTTGGTCACCTCCCTGAGCAAGGCCCTTCTCCCCCGATTGCTCAGTTTGGCCAGGCAACCAGCTCTAGGAAGAGTCTTGGTGGTTCCAAACTTCTTCCATTTAAGAATGATGGAGGCCACTGTGTCTTGGGGACCTTCAATGCTGCAGAAATGTTTTGGTACCCTTCCCCAGATCTGTGCCTCGACACAATCCTGTCTCAGAGCTCTACGGACAATTCCTTCAACCTCATGGCTTGGTTTTTGCTGTGGGACCTTATATAGACAGGTGTGTGCCTTTCCAAATCATGTCCAATCAATTGAATTTACCACAGGTGGACTCCAATCAAGTTGTAGAAACATCTCAAGGATGCTCAATGGAAACAGGATGCACCGGAGCTCAATTTCGAGTCTCATAGCAAAGGGTCTGAATAATTATGTAAATAAGGTATCTGTTTTTTGTTTTTAATACATTTGCAAACATTTCTAAAAAAACTGTTTTCAATTTGCCATTATGGGGTATTGTGTGTAGAGTGATGGTATTCTAAAATTGATTAAAAAAATATATATATGGATGTAACGTAACAAAATGTGGAAAAAGTCAAGGGGTCTGAATACCTTCTGAAGGCACTGTACTTATCACCAAAGAAAGCCACAACACCAACACCGGGGAATGCCAGGTAAAGCAACGGTCACCACACCAAGATCAAAGAAGGAATATTCTAAAGTTCACAACAAAACCCCTTTTACTGCGCTCTCTGATGGCTCTGTGCTATTTTGTCATGAGAAGGTGACGAAGCTTAGATTGTAAAAAATACTCCTTAAAACCTACATTCACATGGTAAAAACATAATATAATTCATTTTTGTGTGAATTCTACATTATATCATCCTGTAAAAAAGATGAATGTGCTGTACAACAATGAGATAGTAAGAAAACATGCTAAAATGGTACTGACCTGGTGAAGTCTTCCTCCCCCAGCATGTGACGGGGGTCTGGGGAGTACCTGGAGGGTGTGACCTGCGGGGGCTGGCTGTAGACGGGCTTGGGCTCCATAGCTCCCATGTAGGCCATGCCTGAGTTGTGGCTGACGTGGTTGTCCACCATGGTGGGGAAGGCTGGAGGGAGGGCGGGGAGGGCCAGACCAGTAGATAGAAAGGAGGGATGATTAAAACAGTGGTCCACTGGAGGCCGCTGGAGGCCTGGGAGCAGTCTTGTCAGGAGGGATCCACTCATACAACTATCATACATGTGACGATGCCTGTTTATATGTGGTATAAAACCTTTGGCCCATAAAATACAGTATTCTCTCTACATTAGATTAGTCAGTGTGGGTGTTGTCTATACCTGAGATATAATGGATGTGTGCAGGCTACTGTGAGACCACAATAGGTTCTACACCAGTAGTTTAGAGTAGCTAAAGTTGAGAAAGTCCCCAGATTTACATTCCGTCATGGGGGGCTATAGTACTTATAACCCATGGAGGGCTACAGTCCTTATAACCCATGGGGAGAAACAGTACTTATAAACCATGGGGGGCTACAGTACTTATAAACCATGGGGGGCTACAGTACTTATAAACCATGGGGGGCTACAGTACTTATAACCCATTGGTGGCTACAGTACTTATAAACCATGGAGGGCTACAGTACTTATAAACCATGGGTGGCTACAGTACTTATAAACCATGGGTGGCTACAGTACTTATAAACCATGGAGGGCTACAGTACTTATAACCCATGGAGGGCTACAGTACTTATAAACCATGGGTGGCTACAGTACTTATAAACCATGGGTGGCTACAGTACTTATAAACCATGGGTGGCTACAGTACTTATAAACCATGGAGGGCTACAGTACTTATAACCCATGGAGGGCTACAGTACTTATAAACCATGGGTGGCTACAGTACTTATAAACCATGGGTGGCTACAGTACTTATAAACCATGGGTGGCTACAGTACTTATAAACCATGGAGGGCTACAGTACTTATAACCCATGCAGGGCTACAGTACTTATAAGCCATGGGGTGCTACAGCACTTATAACCAATGGAGGGCTAAAGTACTTATAACTCATGGAGGGCTACAGTACTTATAACCCTTGGCTCTAAAAATGACTATACTGTAGAACACAAGTGTCAAACTCATTTCACGGAGCGCCGAGTGTCTGCGGGTTTCACTCCTCCATGTGCCTGATTGATGAATTAAGGTCACTAATTCGTAAGGAACTCCCCACACCTGGTTGTCTGAGTTTAATTGAAAGGAAAAACCAAAAACCTGCAGACACTAGGCCTAAAAATTGAATGAGTTTGACACCCCTGCTGTAGATCATACTGTCAGAGCTGGTTTAAGTCAGTATAAAGGCCTTGCTCAAACCATGGCAACCATACGTACTAAACAACAACATATACAGTCCCCCATATATCTTTTTTTTAATAAATATATACTGTATATTATTTTAAATGTATACACTACCAGTCAAAAGTTTGGACACACATACTCATTCAAGGGTTTTTCTTTATTTTTACTATTTTCTACATTGTAGAATAATAGTGAAGGCATCAAAACCATGAAATAACACATATGGAATCATGTAGTAACCAAAAAAGTGTTAAACAAATCAAAATATATTTTATATTTGAGATTCTTCAAAGCAGCCACCCTTTGCCTTGATGACAGCTTTGCACACTCTTGGCATTCTCTCAACCAGCTTCATGAGGTAGTCACCTGGAATGCATTTCAATTAACAGGTTTGCCTTCTTAAAAGTTAATTTGTGGAATTTCTTTCCTTCTTAATGCGTTTGAGCCAATCAGTTGTGTTGTGACAAGGTAGGGGGGTATACAGAAGATAGCCCTATTTGGTAAAAGACCAAGTCCATATTATGGCAAGAACAGCTCAAATAAGCAAAGAGAAACGACAGTCCATCATTACTTTAAGACATGAAGATCAGTCAATACGGAACATTTCAAGAACTTTGAAAGTTTCTTCAAGTGCAGTCGCAAAAACCATCAAGTGCTATGATGAAACTGGCTCTCATGAGGACCGCTACAGGAATGGAAGACTCAGAGTTACCTCTGCCGCAGAGGATAAGTTCATTCGAGTTACCAGCCTCAGAAATTGCAGCCCAAATAAATGCTTCACAGAGTTCAAGTCACAAACACATCTCAACATCAACTGTTCAGAGGGGAATGTGTGAATCAGGCCTTCATGGTCGAATTGCTGCAAAGAAACCACTACTAAAGGACCCCAATAAGAAGAAGAGACCTGCTTGGGCCAAGAAACACAAGGAATGGACATTAGACCGGTGGAAATCTGTCCTTTGGTCTGGAGTCCAAAATTGACCGCTATGTCTTTGTGAGGCGCGGTGTGGGTGAACGGATGATCTCTGCATGTGTAGTTCCCACCGTAAAGCATGGAGGAGGAGGTGTTACGATGTGGGGGTGCTTTGCTGGTGACACTGTCTGTGATTTATTTAGAATTCAAGGCACACTTAACCAGCATGGCTACCACAGCATTCTGCAGCGATACACCATCCCATCTGGTTTGGGCTGTTTTTCAACAGGACAATGACCCAACACACCTCCAGGCTGTGTAAGGGCTATTTTACCAAGAAGGAGAGTGATGGTTGCTGCATCAGATGACCTGGCCTCCACAATCCCCCGACCTCAACCCAATTGAGATGGTTTGGGATGAGTCGGACCACAGTGCAGGAAAAGCAGCCAACAAGTGCTCGGCATATGTGGGAACTCCATCAAGACTGTTGGAAAAGCATTCCAGGTGAAGCTGGTTGAGAGAATGCCAAGAGTGTGCAAAGCTGTCATCAAGGCAAAGGGTGGTTATTTGAAGAATCTCAAATATAAAATATATTTTGATTTGTTTAACACTTTTTTGGTTACTACATGATTCCATATGTGTTATTTCATGGTTTTGAGGCCTTCACTATTATTCTACAATGTAGAAAATAGTAAAAATAAAGAAAAACCCTTGAATGAGTAGGTGTGTCCAAACTTTTGACTGGTAGCATATACAGTGGGGAGAACAAGTATTTGATACACTGCCGATTTTGCAGGTTTTCTTACTTATAAAGCATGTAGAGGTCTGTAATTTTTATCATAGGTACACTTCAACTGTGAGAGACGGAATCTAAAACAAAAATCCAGAAAATCACATTGTATGATTTGTAAGTAATTAATTTGCATTTTACTGCATGACATAAGTATTTGATACATCAGAAAAGCAGAACTTAATATTTGGTACAGAAACCTTTGTTTGCAATTACAGAGATCATACGTTTCCTGTAGGTCTTGACCAGGTTTGCACACACTGCAGCAGGGATTTTGGCCCACTCCTCCATACAGACCTTCTCCAGATCCTTCAGGTTTCGGGGCTGTCGCTGGGCAATACGGACTTTCAGCTCCCTCCAAAGATGTTCTATTGGGTTCAGGTCTGGAGACTGGCTAGGCCACTCCAGGACCTTGAGATGCTTCTTACGGAGCCACTCCTTAGTTGCCCTGGCTGTGTGTTTCGGGTCGTTGTCATGCTGGAAGACCCAGCCATGACCCATCTTCAATGCTCTTACTGAGGGAAGGAGGTTGTTGGCCAAGATCTCGTGATACATGGCCCCATCCAACCTCCCCTCAATACGGTGCAGTCATCCTGTCCCCTTTGCAGAAAAGCATCCCCAAAGAATGATGTTTCCACCTCCATGCTTCACGGTTGGGATGGTGTTCTTGGGGTTGTACTCATCCTTCTTCTTCCTCCAAACACGGCGAGTGGAGTTTAGACCAAAAAGCTATATTTTTGTCTCATCAGACCACATGACCTTCTCCCATTCCTCCTCTGGATCATCCAGATGGTCATTGGCAAACTTCAGATGGGCCTGGACATGCGCTGGCTTGAGCAGGGGGACCTTGCGTGTGCTGCAGGATTTTAATCCATGACGGCGTAGTGTGTTACTAATGGTTTTCTTTGAGACTGTGGTCCCAGCTCTCTTCAGGTCATTGACCAGGTCCTGTCGTGTAGTTCTGGGCTAATCCCTCACCTTCCTCATGATCATTGATGCCCCACGAGGTGAGATCTTGCATGCAGCCCCAGAGCGAGGGTGATTGACCGTCATCTTGAACTTCTTCCATTTTTTAATAATTGCACCAACAGTTGTTGCCTTCTCACCAAGCTGCTTGCCTATTGTCATGTAGCCCATCCCAGCCTTGTGCAGGTCTACAATTTTATCCCTGATGTCTTACACAGCTCTCTGGTCTTGGCCATTGTGGAGAGGTTGGAGTCTGTTTGATTGAGTGTGTGGACAGGTGTCTTTTATACAGGTAACGAGTTCAAACAGGTGCAGTTAATACAGGTAATGAGTGGAGAACAGGAGGGCTTCTTAAAGAAAAACTAACAGGTCTGTGAGAGCCGGAATTCTTACTGGTTGGTAGGTGATCAAATACTTATGTCATGCAATAAAATGCAAATTAATTACTTACAAATCATACAATGTGATTTTCTGGATTTTTGTTTTAGATTCCATCTCTCACAGTTGAAGTGTACCTATGATAATAATTACAGACCTCTACATGCTTTGTAAGTAGGAAAACCTGCAAAATCGGCAGTGTATCAAATACTTGTTATCCCCACTGTATATACACTACCGTTCAAAAGTTTGGGGTCACTTAGAAATGTCCTTGTTTTCGAAAGGAAAGCAATTTTTTTGCCCATTAAAATAACATCAAATTGATCAGAAATACAGTGTAGACATTGTTAACGTTGTAAATGGCTATTGTAGCTGGAAACTGCAGATGTTTAATGGAATATATACATATGCGTACAGAGGACCATTATCAGCAACCATCAGTCCTGTGTTCCAATGGCACGTTGTGTTTGCTAATACAAGTTTATCATTTAAATAGGCTAATTGATCATTAGATCATGCTGAACTTCTAGGCAGAGTTGCAAAGAAAAAGCCACATCTCAGACTGGCCAATAAAAAGAAAATATTAAGATGGGCAGTCTGTGATGTGGCTTTTTCTTTGCAACTCTGCCTAGAAGGTCAGCATCTCGGAGTCGCCTCTTCACTGTTGACGTTGAGACTGGTGTTTTGCGGGTACTATTTAATGAAGCTGCCAGTTGAGGACCTGTGAGGCGTCTGTTTCTCAAACTAGACACTAATGTACTTGTCCTCTTGCTCAGTTGTGCACCGTGGCCTCCCACTCCTCTTTCTATTCTGGTTAGAGCCAGTTTGCGCTGTTCTGTGAAGGGAGTAGTACACAGCGTTGTACGAGATATTTAGTTTCTTGGCAATTTCGCATGGAATAGCCTTCATTTCTCAGAACAAGAATAGACTGACGAGTTTCAGAAGAAAGTTATTTGTTTCTGGTCATTTTGAGCCTGTAATCGAACCCACAATTGCTGATGCTCCAGATACTCAACTAGTCTCAAGAAGGCCAGTTTTATTGCTTCTTTAATCAGCACAACAGTTTTCAGCTGTGCTAACATAATTGCAAAAGGGTTTTCTAATGATCAATTAGCCTTTTAAAATGATAAACTTGTATTAGCAAACACAACGTGCCATTGGAACACAGGACTGATGGTTGCTGATAATGGGCCTCTGTACGCCTATGTAGATATTCCATTAAATATCAGCCGTTTCCAGCTACAATAGCCATTTACAACATTAACAATGTCTACACTGTATTTCGGATCAATTTGATGTTATTTTAATGGACAAAAAATTGCTTTCCTTTCAAAAACAAGGACATTTCTAAGTGACCCCAAACTTTTGAACGATAGTTTAAATTTATTAATTTAAATATATTTTCCTTTATTATTATTATTCCCCCTCCCCTAATTTGAGTAAACTAATGGACAACAACACTTAAACTTCTACTTCCAGCTTATAAATACTACATACATTTTACGGACACAGTACATTTAAATTAGTTATCTTTTGTTTGTTTTAATATACAGTGCTACTGTACAGGCCCTTTGATAATAAACCACTAGTTGACATGCATATTGTTTGGTGCAATATAGTATATGTGTAATAATTACATACAGTCAAGTACAGGTATGTGTGTGTGAGTGTGTGGTTCTTCTGTAAATCGATGTGTGTGGCTGGCAGGAGCCCCAGGCCGTGGGTTCTCCTGAGCAGGCATGTGGTATGTGAGAAAGCCTCCGCACTCAGTGGGAGAGACAGAGAGACAGACAGACAGAGCTGTTGCTGTGGGCAGCGGTGTGTGTGCACCATGTAGGAGTCTGGGCACAGCCGCGCAGAGGAGAACACACTGAAACAGCTCTACCACTCACTAAGATCATCTATAAACATCCCTGTTACAGGGACAATGATGTGCACCTAGAGTTAACACTAATCAACAGAGCATTCTTCACACTGTTGCTGGGGTTTGTTTTTGAGGTTGAGGTATGAAATGATAATGAGCGTTGTGAATAGAGACCACCAGTGTTATTACTGCAGGGTTCCTGTGGTCTTCCATTAAAACAAAGTGTGTGCCGGTACCATTGAGGCATTGCCTGGGATATAAAAGTGTAGTTGGATGCATTGTAAGCAGTATGAGGGTAGGAGAGGAGTGGGAGTGTTTAGTTTGAGCCATAGGGGACTACAGTTGCTAGCAGAAGAAGGTACGTACTACTGGAGTAGTCCGGAGGGGCGTACATGTCGTTGAGGTGTACAGGTCCGGGCTTGGCCACCTTGAGGTAGACCATGTCAGAGGTGTTCTTCAGCGCCGCCACCGCCTCCTCGTGACGCACGTCCTGCAGGATGATGTTGTTCACCTGGAGCAAACAGACCACAGTGAAATCCTCAGGTCCACAACACTGAGGCTTATAGCTACCTCTCTTAGTTTGCCTGAGCCACACCCAAATCAATCATACACGACTGTTGCTGTGTCCTACTTAGATACAGCATGTGATATGCGAGCATAAGATGGCGCCGACGGAGATGGTCCAACCCGACTGACTCGGTACCCCTGGTATATAACCTCCTTATTGTTATTTATTGTGTTACTATTTAAAAAATGTATTTGCTCATTTTCTTACTTTTTAACTCTGCATTGTTGGGAAAGGGCTTGCGAGTAAGCATTTCACGATAAAGTCACAGGAAAGTCTGTTGTATTCGGGGCATGTGAGAAATAGAATTGGATTTGATTTGATAATATTTCCAAGGTTTTGAAGAGAGTTGTTCCATATAAGAAGCGAGAGATTACTTACTTAAGGAACCACCACGTCTGCATCATTGTGTCTACAGATAAAATTATGGATTTGGGCAAACACTTTAATCAAATAGCACAAACGATCAATACGGCTGTCCGTCCAGAAGTGTACTGTGATGAAAACAGTGCGGCGGGGATTCAATGTTGGGCAGCTGTAGTCACTCACAGCTCTCCCCACACAAAGGTAGCAGTGCTTTAATGACTTTGTTTTTATGTATGACAGCCTTAAACACATCTCATATTTTTCAAACAGCGTTGTCAATCATTCAGCCTGGCAGGTGGTTCTCTTTATGTTCTACCAGTGTGGCACAGAATATGCCCGGGGAGCAGCCGGGCTGTTTGTGCCCCGTCTCCAGCACCGTATCAATCACACACATGGAAATAAACGCTGATGAGTGTCGCCTCGCCTGGCTCTCTTGAGGAACGGCCAGGGATGGGCACAGAGAGGCACCCACCAAAGTGGCAGTGTCCTGATGTGTGCAGGGTATGAATGTAGGTGGGGATGGAGAGTAAAGACCACATAAAAAAGAACTCTGGCACTGCTCTGCAAGCAGCCATGGACACGAGTACTGCCCAACTTTATTTGTTTGTTTGTTTTGTCACAAACTAGGGAAAGTAATGCACACTATTTTGCATTTAACGCACGAGTGACTGGCAAGGATTACTGGACTACTACTAACATGGCTGATTATATTCAGCGTCACGCAATGTTCCACTGCTACGATGCTGCACTTGGCACAGGGTGATCGGGCTTCATGGACATACACCAGGAAGGAGCTCCCAGCACTACGGGACTACGGAGATCAATCGCTCAAAGCCTAAATCTTGAGACTGGCCAAGACAGCAGGGAAGATTATAGGCATGATACTTCCCTCCTCTCTCCAGGACATTTTCCAGGAGACCATCATCAGACAGGCACTGAACGCAGAGTTCCAGCTGATGCCATCGAGGAGGCTACATGGTGCCTATATGCAGGCTGAACAGATATAAACTGTAGGCCTTCATCATGTGGAACTGCCCGCTAGTCACAGCCTTGCCTGACATGAACTTATTCACTTTTTGTGTGGGTGGGGAGGGGGTGTGTATGATGGGGTTTTGTGTCAATTGATGCTATGTATTTATGTGGAAGCAGCAGCACTCTATCGTCCAAGTCAAATAAAGTATATCTTAACATTACAATAAGAGAATGAAGAGTGTTCTTGGGCATCCATTAGAGCTCAGTATCTGTGTGACTGACTGGGTATGGAACAAGACTGTGTTAGGCTGCTGAGCTTAAGTCTAGGCATTCCCTCTGGCTTCACCAAACCACCTCTGCTACATCAAAGCAGGGGTAAGCTCAGTTAATGAACGAAGGTCAAGAGTAGATGTGGTCTTACAGCTAGCAGGCGGTCTCCGGTCTGCAGCCGTCCGTCTTTCTGCGCGGCCCCGCCCTCGATGATCTTTGTGATGTAGATGCTGTTGTCTCCAGGGATGTGCTGGTTGCCGATCCCCCCAGCAATGCTGAAGCCAAGGCCTGGGGGTGAGAAGCACACAGAGGACAGTCAGTACTGGTTCACAGGCTGATCTCTAGGGGTTGGGGTCAATTCCACGTCCTTTTAGACAGCTAAGTGAAGAATAGAAAATAGCAGAAAATCTTCAATTCAAGTTCTCGGAAATACTCTCAATTTATGTTCCAATTTCAGAGTTGAACTAGAATTTCCCAAGGAAACAGGGGTTTTGTTAAGTTTTAGGGGCCTAGAAAATCCTGTCCCTCACAATGAGGATTCATTCATGTATGTAGTATATATCGCTGACCTTTGGGCCCCTTCAGCAGGTTGATCTCCAGGATGGTCTCAGGAGGGGCCTGTCTTCTCCTGACCAGCAGCCTGACCACAGGGCCAGCCTCTTTCAGGGCCTCCACCGCCCGGCTGTGGACCACCTCAGACACATCCACCTCGTTCACACGCAGCACACAGTCATTCACCCTGGGGAGACGAGGGGAAACAACGTTCATATTTTACAATGCTGTTAGTACTGTAAAAACACATACATGCACCCCCTGTCAATCCACAGGCTCTACAATATGGATTGAATCAACTGTTAGTCATACTGCTAGTCAAATGCATGCAAAAATAGAGTGTGGGCACACACACACAATCAAACACATAGGCCAGCCGCACACCAAAAGCACTCAATATCATTATTTTTTTTGGCCTTTGGTTTCCCAGTGAATCATAACTTAGTGGAAACACAAACAGAGCCCGGGGGCAGAGGGCTGTAGAGACACACATACACACACACACACACACACACACACACACACGCAGAGCTCTGGCTGCCTGGCGGGACGTGGTGGAGTGAGCGAGAGAGAGAGAAAAAGAGAGCGAGAGAAGGAAAGAGAGAGTGGGACTAACTCACCCCAGCCTGCCGTCCATAGCTGCAGCTCCTCCAGGGATAATCTTGGTGATGAAGATCCCTGGGTCATCTGGTATGTGTGGATTGTCCATCCCCCCAGCGATGCTGAAGCCCAGGCCAGAGTTACCCTGCAGAGCGGTTATGAGGCAGGAATCTTCTTTTTATCTTATGTTTGTTGTGTAGTAAATATTTCAGCTTTTATTTTCATTGTTTTTTATTTGTTTTTCCCTGTGAAGCACATTGCGTTGCATTCCATGTCTGAAATGTGCTGTATAAATAAAGCTTGATTTGATTACACATACAATAGAGAGGCACAATAGACACACACACACGAGTGTTCAGCTGTGCACACGTTCACACACAGACACGTGCACGCAAGCACACATAGCTCTACTGCATAAGTGATGGGTTGCGTCCCACTCTAGGAGTGTGGACTCAAGGTCAGTGGGAGAAGGGGCTTCTTAATGGTATTGCAGTCTCAGGGGAACATGAGATCTATGCAGACTGCTCGGGGGAATTCAACATTGCTGATGACCATGGCACTTTCTCATACGTGTGTGTGCATTTTCCTCCCATTCAATGTACTTTATACTATACTGAACAAAAATATAAACGCAACATGTAAAGTGTTGGTCCCATGTTTCATGAGCTGAAATGAAAGATCCCAGAAATGTTCCATATGCACAAAAAGCTTATTTCTATTAAATGTTGTGAACAAATTTGTTTACATCCCTGTTAGTGAGTGTTTCACCTTTGCCAAGATAATCCATCCACCTGACAGGTGTGGCATATCAAGAAGCTGATTAAACAGCATGATCATTACACAGGTGCACCTTGTGCTGGGGACAATGAAAGGCCACTTTAAAATGCAGTTTTGTCGCACAACACAATGCCACAGATGTCCGGCTTCTTCACCTGAGGGATCGCCTGGCTCCCCCAGTGGGTGGGTCTGGCTGACAAGTGGGTGGGCCTATGCCCTCCCAGGCCCACCCATGCCCACACATGGTTGCACCCCTGCCCAGTCACGTGAAATCCATAGATTAGGGCCTAATGAATTAATTTAATTTGACTGATTTCCTTATATGAACTGTAACTCAGTAAAATCTTTGAAATTGTTGCATGTTGCGTTACTATTTTTGTTCAGTATAGATACATCAGGTCACTTAATTCAATTCTAAATGTATGTAAGACAAAGTGTGGGGGGGGGGGGGATTCATAGGTGGAAGACAAGATGAGTCAGGGAAGTTTCATTTCTCTGAAGACTTGGTCCTTTTCTTCTCTCCATCTATATGCACCCCCATCCCCCACCTCTACCTCAGCATGACAAAGCACCCATTTGGATCCAGTGGGCCCAGGCGTGCTGTTCTATCTGACAGCCATGGCTGCAGAGACAGGCTCCAAACAAGACAGCTGAGAAAAGACTTCACTTTATTATTTTCTATTATTAATAAGCAACCGTCGCAACCAATTAGGACAGAGGGAGGCTGAGGCCTCCCAGTACGCTGCTCCCGTTCCAAAAGGAGTGCACTGGGCCCGACCACCAAATGTTCCCTACCCACAGACCTTTTAAAGTGTGATTTTATCTAGTTTATTTAAGCCTCTGCATGCAGAAATGCCACTCAAGAGCGGGAGATGGAGAAAGCAGCCCTGCATCTAGCTGCTGGTGGAATAACAAGAGCAGGAACATACAGGATGTCTGCACTCCACTATAGACTGAACTCTGCCACTGACAAGTGCAACTGTCAAGGGTTCTGAGAGTGTGTGTATATGGGGAGATGACGTAAGAACTATTTCATATGTGTGCTGTTTAAAGATGCAGTGTGAGGCCTATAAGGGTCTGACGATGACGACATGCAGCAAGATTATATAAAAAGGATGCCTCTTTGTCGAATCTCTGCATATGGTCAGATATAGGCCCGCTGTTACAAAGACCGACGTATACTGATGTCATAATCTTTACCACTTACATATAGAATGACTATATGTAAGATATTCAAAATGTCATATGTGATAGAGAAATAATTTGCTTTGATTTTCTATAAATATACTGGACAAAAATATAAACGCAACATGTAACAATTTAAAAGATTTTACTGAGTTACAGTTCATAGAAGGAAATCAGTCAATTTAAATTAATTCATTAGGCCCTAATCTATGGATTTCACATGACTGGGCAGGGTTGCAGCCATGGGTGGGCCTGGGAGGGCATAGGCCCACCCACTTGGCAGCCAGACCCACCCACTGGGGAGCCAGGCCCAGCCAATTAGAAATAGTTTTTCCCCACAAAAGGGCTTTATTACAGACAGAAATATCCTCAGCAGCCCCCCACCAACCCTCCCTCAGACGATCCCACAGGTGAAAAAGCCGGATGTGGAGGTCCTGGGCTGGCATGGTTACACATGGTCTGTGGTTGTGAGGCTGGTTGGATGTACTGCCAAATTCTCTAAAACGACATTGGACGCAGATTATGGTAGAGAAATTAACATTAAATTATCTGGCAACAGCTCTGGTGTTCATTCCTGCAGTCAGCATGCCAATTGCACGCTCCCTCAAAACTTGAGACATCTGTGGCATTGTGTTGTGTGACAAAACTGCACATTTTAAAGTGGCATTTTATTGTCCCCAGCACAAGGGGCACCTGTGTAATGATCATGCTGTTTAATCATCTTCTTGATATGTCACACCTGTCAGGTGGATGGATTATCTTGGCAAAGGAGAAATGCTCACTAATAGGAATGTAAACTAATTTGTGCACAACATTTTAGAGAAATATGTTTTTTGTGCGCATGGAACATTTCTGGGATCTTTTACTTCAGCTCATGAAACATGGGACCAACACTTGAGTTTATATTTTTGTTCAGTGTATATGCAACATTTACTGTCCTGAGAAACCTTAAAGCCAAAGAGAGCTGCTTACTGCCATCTAGTGGGAAAAGCTCATGTGTTTAACAAAAGGCTTTGAAAAGAACACATATGATCACAAGACAAGAACATAATAAGTGGTTCTAAAGGTTTTAGTGAACCTCACCCTCTCCAAGATGATCTCTTCATATTTATACATCCCATCACTGCCATTTACCTGTCAACACAGAACACATACAGGTTACAGTTACATCATCATCATCATCATCATCATCATCATCATCCCACATGAAAACATCCTACAAATAATTTAAAACAGAAAAGGATAACAGAACATTGACTGTAATCTTTCATCTCAATATAATCATTTTTAATTACCATAGAATTTAACATAGACATACAGGTAACTGCCAAAATAATGGAAACACTTGAGTAAATGAGGGATACAAAGTATATTGAAAGCAAGTGCTTCCACACAGGTGTGGTTCCTGAGTTAATTAAGCAATTAACATCCCATCTTGCTTAGGGTCATGTATAAAAATGCTGGGCAGGCCATTAGTTTGGCTACCATGACTAGAAGAAGAGATCTCAGTGACTTTGAAAGAGGGGTCTCAAAGGAGCATAGGGGGTTTAAAGGGTGTGTGTGTGTCTCAGTCACCAGATCTCAACCCATTTGAACACTTATGGGAGATTCTGAAGCGGCGCCTGAGACAGCGTTTTCCACCACCATCAACAAAACACCAAATGACGGAATTTATTGTGGAAGAATGGTGTAGTATCCCTCAAATAGAGTTCCATACACTTGTAGAATCTATGCCAAGGTGGATTGAAGCTTTTCTGGCAGCTTGTGTTGGCCCAACGCCCTACTAAGACACGTTTTGTTGATGTTTCCTTTATTATGGCTGTTACAGTGCCTTCAGAAATACCCCTTAACTTATTCCACATTTTGTTGTGTTACAGCCTGAATTTAAAATGTATTAAATGCATGTTTTTCTCTCACCCATCTACACACAATAACCCATAATGACAAAGTGAAAACATGTTTAGAAATTTGTTTGAAATACAGAAATATCTAATTTACATACAGTTGAAGTCAGAAGTTTACATACACCTTAGCCAGATATATTTAAACTAATTTTTTAACAATTCCTGACATTTAATCCTAGTAATAATTCTCTGTCTTAGGTCAGTTAGGATCACCACTTTATTTTAAGGATGTGAAAATGTCAGAATAATATTAGAGAGAATGATTTATTTCAGCTTTTATTCCTTTCATCACATTCCCAGTGGGTCAGAAGTTTACATACACTCAATTAGTATTTGGTAGCATTGCCTTTAAATTGTTTAACTTGGGTCAAACGTTTCGGGTAGCCTTCCACAAGCTTCCCACAATAAGTTGGGTGAATTTTGGCCCATTCCTCCTGACAGAGCTGGTGTAACTGAGTCAGCTTTGTAGGCCTCCTTGCTCGCACACGCTTTTTCAGTTCTGCCCACACATTTTCTATATGATTGAGGTCAGGGCTTTGTGATGGCCACTCCAATACCTTGACTTTGTTGTCCTTAAGCCATTTTGCCACAACTTTGGAAGCATGCTTGCGGTCATTGTCCATTTGGAAGACCCATTTGCGACCAAGCTTTAACTTCCTGACTGATGTCTTGAGATGTTGCTTCAATATATCCACATCATTTTCCTTCCTCATGATGCCATCTATTTTGTGAAGTGCACCAGTCCCTCCT